GTAAGACACCAAAAATAAATTTAAAGATAAATGAAAAACCACAAAATACAATTTTGCAAATTATAGACAAATCAAATTTCTTAGCAGATCAAATCCTCATTTAATGTAAACAAAAAAAGCCTTTGAAATAAATGTCCAAACATGATGAATAGGCAGTTAACTTAAGAAATATCAACTACCAAAAAACTTACAAAAAGACACTCACCCTCACCAAAGATCAAAGAAATACATAAAATAGTGGGATTTCAGATAGCCATCAATGGAAGGACAAACTAGTATAACTATTTGAAGGCAACTAGAAAATACTAGCAATATTTAAAATAAACAAACATTTTGACTTGGCATTTCTACTTTGCTATGTTCACATAAGTTTTCAGCAACACATGCACAAGAATGTTCAGAAAAATATTGGGAGAGTATAGTGATATGAAGAAGAAATAAAGGTAGCTTTTGGAGTGCTGTAGTGTTCTACTTTTTGGCCCGATAGGTGGTTACATAGATATGTTTATTCTGTGATAATTCGCTGAGCTGTACACTCATGCACTGTGTACTTTTCAACATGTTTTATGTTGTAATAAATATATTTTAATATCTTTTGAATAAACAAAGGGGTAATAATAATAGGTATTTCAAGAGTAAAAAAAGCGATCAAGTTATGTCAACTAGGAACAAATTGTTATGAAGCAATAAAATAACTAGTCAGTTAAAAAAAGTTTCGTTAATATAGAAATAAAATTCTATGGGCACTTTAATAGGTATAGACCAAAAAAATTTACAAAAAAAGAAATTTTAATGTTTTTTAAAGTAAATGAAAAAAGTTATACTAATCCCACAATTATAATTATGGTATGGCTCTCCCACTTCCACCCCCATACGCACACATACAAGCAACTAGTACTTTGAGAACATTTATTCCTTTTTTTCCTTCTGGCTTTTATTTTTGCTCATCATAGTAGTCCTGTACTGCTAGGATTTCATTTTTACATGACAAAAACTTCTCTCTTTAAGCCACTATTACTTGGGGATTTTCTGTTAACGATGGAAACTAATCCTAACAAAGTCAATTTGAGAGAAGAATCTACGTGTCTTTCCTCATTTATTTTTCCAGATCTGCCTGCCTATTAACTCCTTCATACTGTATGTTTATGGGGCAGACTACCATATGGGAGGTCCTGTGATTGAAATGGTAACTGTGACTGACAGGGTTGGTAACTTTTCCTAATTAAGAGGATAAACCTTAGCAAGTCCACTTACCCAGATGTAGGTTTCATTCTCCAACTTACCTTTTTTATTTTTTTTATTGATGTCTTAATAGTTTATAACATTGTGAAATTTTGGTTGTACATTTTTGTTTGTCAATCACCATATACATGTCTCCCTTCACCCCTTGTGCCCACCACCCAGCCCCTTTGCCCCTGGTAACTACAATACAGTTCTTTCTGACCATGTGCCAACTTATCTTTTTGTTATTGGTAACAAAGCTAACACTTTCATCACATGGTTTTATCACTAGCAAACATATATAATATTTTAAAAATTGGTCTAATCATAATACATAAGGAAATCTATATTTAGAAATAGGCACACCTTCTTGTCATAGCCAAAAAGCTAATACAAAATAAACCTAACAAAGATTTTTTTGATAATGTGACAGGATAGAAGATATATAAACACTTTTCCCTCAATTCATAATAAACTGAGCATTAAAAAGATTAAAAATTAAAAATATATAATATCTAATTTAGGGAAAATAAGACAGAAGTGGGCATCATAAGTTAGACACTGTGCTATGCACATATTTTGTGAATTAATATCGAATGTTGATATTGATTAGATTCAACTGCCAAGAAAATATAGAACATTTAAATAAGCCAATCACTGTAGAAGGAACAAAAAAAGAACCTGTCAAAAAATCTACAACCAAAAAAGGGGCTAGGCTCAAATGGTTTTAAAGTGAGTTCTAACTTAGTCTTACGGAACAAATAATTTCTATGTAAACCACACTAGAGTATAAGAAAAAAAGGAAAGCTCTCAAATTCACTTACTAAAGCTAACGTAAGCATAATATCAAACCTGAAGAAGACAGCATAAAAAAGAAAAACACAACAAATTATTTTATTAATAAGGAATGCAGAAAGCTCAAATAAAATGCTACTGAGTTAAATGTAAATATATGTACATCTGAATTCATAAAATAAAAATTTACTAAGTGTTTTAAGAAAATACTGCAGAAAATTTATAATACCTTAGGTTGAAGAAAATTTTTTATACAGCAATGAAACTCCAGAATCCAGAAAGGAGGAAAAGATTTGAAAGCACAGTATTTTTAAAACTTCTTTATGGAAAAAGGTACCATAAACTAATTCGAACAGAAATGGCAGACTGGGAAAAAATACAGGACCTATGTCCATAAAAAGGGTAATATATAACAAATGAGAGTATATCTATACCATGGACTACTAAATGCAGGTAGTAAAGATAATGTGGTAGACATATTGCCTTAACTTTAAGAATGCCCACAATATATTTTGAAGTGATATAAGTTACAAAATAATATGAATAGTAAAATTTTAAAAATGAAAAAAAAAATTCTTCTTAAGCATGTTTGTATAAACAAAAGGAAAAAATCTGAAAGGCTACACGAGTGGTTACAACAAGGCAGTGGCAGAGACTGTCATTATTAGTTTTATTTTAGACACCTCTATATTATTGAATCATTGCATTTTGTATATATTACTTTTGTTATTTACATGACAAAGTTTCTAAAATTGTAGTTATCAGCTAGAATTTTCCAAATGTTAATCATTTACCTATACCAAAAATACACATTAATTATAAACAACTGATAATGTTTATGCAAGAATACACAAATATACATTCCTCAATTACAGATCGGTGAAAATGTGCACAGATATAAACTTCAAAGATATGCTGCTGCCTCAAAAGCAGAAGGTAAACCAAAAAAGAGAAATACAGGAGATACAGAAAATACATAAAGGATGCAAAGGGCATGCCCAGGGTGATGACGAAAGAAGATCTCAACATATTAGGAGTAAAAGAGAACCAGTGCAGACTGGAGCAGGTCATAAAGCTCCAGAACAGACTTCCCCAAGAAGAAAAAATTGACAAGAGAATAAGAGGAGATTTAAGCAACTGGTGGAGAGTTTGGAAGTGCATCAGTGATACACATAGAAAACTAAGCAAACCAAAAAACAAAACAACTAACTCCAAGGAAAAGGAAACCTGCAGGGAAAAAAATAACAGCAATAATGTTTATGATTTAGCTCAATTCTGAGTAGCATCCACAGAAATAGCAATACAAACTGAGAATTCTGATTTAATCAAAATGACAAGATTTCACACATACGTCCGTGTGTGTCCGTGTGTGTATGTGTGTGTGTGTAGATGGAAGGATGGGAACTGTATATGTGTCAGTGTGTGTTTGTGGGGCAGGGCTAAAAGGAGGGTTCATTCTCATCACTCACATCCCTTAGCTGGGAATTCAGCAGGAACAGAGTAAACTAAGAATCACAAAAACAAAAGCATTCTACTTAAAAGATACAGAATTAATGCCAGAAGGAGGAGATAAAATAACTGGAAGCTGTTACCATGGTGGAGGGTGTTTGTGACTGTTCTTTGTAGTATGTATAATTAGTTGGCTCCTTAAAATATATGCAGATATTAATTTAATAAAAGTGAGATTTCCAATTTAACATCAAGATGCCCAACTTGACAAAAAATGGTAATGGCACTGTAAACAATAGATAACTTTTCCACAAAAAATAGATGAAAACTTTAGAAGACATATATTCAGTGTTTTTTAAGGAAAAAAAACGTAGACTATCTGGGAATAAGGATGAATTTTTAAACAGAAAAGTTGCTTTTTAGTTTTTTTTTAATAAGTTAGTTTTTCAACCTCTCCTTAGGATATCTCCTCATGCTGGGACCAGTTTGCCAGGACTTCCACAGTTTCACACGTAAAGTCCCGTACCGTACCCCAGGAAACCCCTCAGTCTCAGGCACACCAGGATGGCTGGTCACTCTAATCCTAACCAGTTCAGAAGCATTTATCTTATAATGCCACGATGGACAAAGCCTTTGTTTTGTACTAAGTACTGAAAGAAAAAGTGAAAATAGGCAGCTTTTTGAAGATCAAGTGGGATGATGGCAGAGTATAGCAAACTAAGGGAAAATTTTACATTCTTAATGTCAAGAAAGGGAACATGCAGCTTACTATAGGGAACTATACCTCAATAAAGCTGTTTTTTTTTTTCTCCTGAGAAAAAACAAACACTAAAAAGCAGGAAGGAGTGAAAAAAACTTAACTTTTGGTTAATCTAAATAAAATGACAATACATACATAGTGTTTTCATCTTTCAAATCTGTAAAAGCAAATAATGTTGTATTCAAAACATTATAAAGATCTGGTATTAGAGGGAAAAAAGATCTAGCCATGGAATAACGCATCAACTTGATGGATCAATGTATCTTGAAATGACTAGGTATCAAAAATAAATTATGGGGAAAACATAAGAAAATAAGAAACATAAAAAGATAATAAATTAAATTAAAAACAACCAAATGAAGAAAGCAATTTAGTATCAAATGATAACAAAATTAAAGAAAAATACTGTAATACCAAGAGTATTACCAATGAGGAGAAAATAAATACTACCGGAAGCAATTAGTTTCTACTTGTGCTCATCAATACTATTTATTTCCTTCAAATAAAAATATAACTCAAATTTCTGTTAACCAATCTGAGGTGCACTATTAGGGTAACTCAAGCAAAATGCTTTGTTTTTGTTGAATGATCTGTACTAAAAGAAAAAAATAGTCAGATTCATGCATAAAAGAAACCCCCAGAACATCAGGTGGCCATGGTTATGATAGGAAAAGACAAATTATACAGGAAGCCAAATTTAATTCAAGGAAATAAAGAATTTTAATAACTTTAATTAAAAAAAAATAAGAAAATAAAATGAAAATGTTAATTGTACCTTAAAGAACCCTGCTTCAGGGCCACACCTGTCATACACATTCCTGGATTTACCTATCGCCATGATAATACCTTGCATGTTCGGTGTCATCATGATCTGCCACAAGGGATTTAAAGTAACAGTTTTTGAATGGTTAACATAAAAAAAAAAAAAAAAATCCAAAATAATTCCTTTACATGCAAGTTAAAAGTCTTTTGTTTTTCACTATTTAGAAATCAAACGTTGCATTTTTTTTTATAGCAAATGTGATCTGATATGCATGTAAGTATCTTCAAAATCATCCATACAGGGCCACAGCTAGCTCATATGGTGCCTTTGTGCAAACTGCAAAAAGGCACCCTCTCAGAACTGAAGCATTTTAAAAAGGCAGCCCCTTCTTGATAAACAAATTAGAAAAATGTGCTGTTCTCTGAGAGAACCATTTAGAAAAAGCAACACTTTTTATTTATAAAGGTGCCTCTTCTTTAAGGCTTGGGGAGTTCAGCATAAGCTCAATTTCAATTCCACTTCCACCTGTTGGCTCATCATCCCTGCACAATTGTACAACCTAAATACCCATAAGCAGCAGCCCCACATCCATGTGACTTATTTTCAAAAGTTCCAAGGCACATGCACTGTTAAACTGTCACTCCAACGAATTAAAAACAAAAAAAAAGAACTCTGTCAACAGCATAAGCACTTGCAGAAAAGATAGTATTAAATGATTAATCACAATTCTACCTTTTTTTCTTCTTTTTTTTTTTTGCTGAGGAAGATTTGCCCTGAGCTAACATCTGCTGCCAATCTTCTTCTTTTTTTTTGTTTGAGGAAGATTAGCCCTGAGCTATCATCTGTGCCAATCTTCCTCTAATCTGTATGTGAGACGCCGCCACAGCACGTCTTGATGAGCGGTGTGTAGGTCCACGCCCAGGATCTGAACCCGTGAACCTTGGGCTGCCGAAACAGAGCATGCAAACTCAACCACTACACCACCTGGATGGCCCCACAATTTTACTTTTTTAAATGCCAGAAGGTTCACCCTAAAACAAGCACTCAGGTGCTTGATCAAAAATTAACACTTTTATTAAAAACACGCCAGTTTCCGTAATTTTCAAGCACCAATGTGGTAATAAAATAGTTAACTGGAACAACATACTGCTCTTCAGTACTAAATACTTAAGTACTTCTTTGTTTTCATAACAGCTTATTATTTTTAGCTGTTTACATTTTTAAAATCTGCAAAATGAAATAACTGAAGGCATTATGAAGCTATCGTATTAGAGCAATCAAGAGATTGCATCCATTACTTCTGATTCACTGAACCTATTACCCATACTTTGGACTATACACTGAGAGTTGCAATATATCTAACATTATCCGCTTCAGCAAATCCTCCTGACCAGTTCCTACCTCACAAACCAGCTTCTTATTCCTTTTATGGTCCATGCTGTCTTACATTGGCACAGTAATATTAATCTCTTCATGACACCTCTGATTTGGGTGACTAACTCTTACACAATAGCTTAAGTATAACCTTGGAATAAGTCTGAAAAAAAGCTACTTGGAAAAAACTACTTAATATATATTCAATTCTCATCCATGCCAGTAAAAACTAACAAATGATAGAATCCAAGGTCTTCTCTGTTGATACTATTCAGAAACAGCTTTACTGGTCTTCCCTCAAATATGTAAAAGATCAAACATAAGAGTCTTAGGAAAAACATGGAAAGGGGGGAAAAAATCTTATGGGACCAGGACAATAGCACATTTTCCTCTGGATTCCCAAGAACATACCATGAGAAGCAAAAATGCCTCCATACTGTTAGGAAACTAAGTAGGTGAGAATTAACAGTGAAGAGATAAGAAGAATTAAGATGGAGGTACTACTGTGTTTTATATACAGTAGTATATAGAGATTCTGTAGTGTTGATGAATCATTCAATTCACAATTCCAGGTTGCAGAAACAAAAATATCAATTATCTGTTTGCAATCAGGCTATAGGATCTTCTGGCAGGAAATGATAGGCAAAGTATTCTAATAAATAATTTGAGTAAAACAGAAAAGGAAAATAAAAATTATCTTTTGTGTGTGTGAGGAAGCTTAGCCCTGAGCTAACATCTGATGCCAATCCCCCTCTTTTTCCTGAGGAAGACTGGCCCTGGGCTAACATCTGTGCCCATCTTCCTCTACTTTATATGGGATACCGCCACAGAATGGCTTGCCAAGCAGTGCGTCAGTCCACGCCCAGGGTCCGAACCCAGGAACCCCCGGCCACCGAAGGGGAGTGCATGCACTTAACTGCTATGCCACCGGGCCGGCCCCAATAAAAATTATTTTTAAATACTCAACCTTTTTGCTATTTAATTTAACAAACTTTATTGTAATCTATCAACCTGAGAGTAAAATGATCCTACGTCTGCATAAAAGAATAAACTCTAGAAACATAAAATTATTCTTTTGAAAAATTCCATAGCTTTCTACTTAAATTTTCATTTGAAATTCAAAGTTCTGTTAGCAATCAGTAAGGTAATTTCAGACCATGGGTGGCAAAGCTGAATGTTATGCAGCAAAAGACACAAGTGTGAGGGTGCGGGCATGCCCAAAGTACTTGTATTAAATAGCAAAAAGTAAGTAGAAATAGTGCAGAGGACTATAATAAAGGTACCTCATCATCATAACCCCCCTCCTTTGACTCAATCATAAATTTCCCTACATGAGGAATCGCCACCTCTACAACTTGCTGGTTACAAGGTGGTTGGCTTGTGGTATTTTCAGGCTTCTGCAGAAGAAAATCATTAGTATGAACATTAGAAAAGAGAAAATCAAAGAGAAAACAATCAAAGCACCAAGTTTAAGTGCATAGACTCTTGAGTCTTTTAAAAATACCTGCATTTGCTTAGTATGAACTGAAACCACCTAAAACTGAACATCAGAAGCAAATGCACTAATCAAGTAATAATACAAGATCTACAGCTTTCTCTTTACATCTCAACCACTAAATTAAGTTTTCATGTTTTTTCCACCAAGCATTTTGGACTCCAAATCCTTAAAAATACTAAATACTAGAGTTGTATTTCCTACTGCTGTCTATATAGCTGAAGGTTTTATTTTTTTAAAAATTCCACTAACTCCATAAAGCCTTTCTTGATATATCCATCAAAATAAGAAATGACCTCCTCTGAACCCAGAATTTGTAGGTTTTCTTTCTTATGGTCTTACCTTTCTATCCTTTCTAGTAATCAACTGTATGTCCATTTATTGTGCATACTCTATTGTGTTTAACTCACTCTGTATAGCCTATGAGATTCTTATACGATATATTTACCTAATAAGTGTCCAACGTTTTTGGAAAAGCTGTTGGAAAGTGATACCCATTTTTAACAACTCAGATTTATTTCATTTTCTCTTTTCTTTGTTAACAAATTCTATGAATTTCCCTAATCCACATTAGTAGAGTGGAAGCCAGTGTGAAATCCAGCAAAGTCCACTCAAAGACACTAATATGGTTCATTCAAAATACTGTTCAGATTTCAAAGGATCTTATTTTACTGAATAGACTTATAACTAGCAGATTCACTATTTACCTATAAACAAATTTCAAAAGAACCTAAGGTGCTTAAAAGCAGTTTGCTTAAGTAATTTCAATCTGCATCATAAAAGTTTTCCTAAGGAAAGATAAACTTTAATATTGATATAAAATAAACAGAGAATTTTAATAAGTACAATTAAAGGGGTTTTATTTTAATTTGAAATATAGGTAAATTTTAGCGATGAAACATTTTCTTACTTTCCAAAAGTACACATGCAGAAAGAGTTTAGTTAAACAATAAAACAAAACTAGTGGCCAAGACTGGCATTATCCTTTTTAAAACAAACGTTATTTTTAACTATACCATATTTAGAAAAGGTTCCCTTACTTTGAGTCCTCAACTTTTCAAGAGGAAATAACCAACCTGCATGGTTGTTGTGATCATGAGAGAGAATATTCAGCTAACTCAATACCTGGTACGTAATAGTTGTTCTATAAATGACAAGTATTACCAGTATTATTATATGATTATGCTACTTTAAATGGCTTATATTTGAATAGTTCTAACCCAATATTACTATCATACATATCCTATAGAGATATGCTTGGCCTATGACATTTAATTAAGGATTTTTAATCCTTTTAGTATAGGAGAGAAGAACAATTGTGCTAGGTCTCCATTCACAAGAGTGAAATATAAGCAGGTAAATTAAGAAATTTGTCTGGACTTTATACTAAAAAATTTCTCACAAGCAAACCAATCTAAAACAGTATTATCTTAAGAAGAGAAAATATAAATTTAAGGCAAGTAGCAACTGGAGAATTTATTACTTAGAATACTGATCCTTACAAAACAACATATTCCCTTCGGGAAAAAAAACAGACTTAGGAAAAATAAAAGTTTTATAAATCTTTCCAGTTACCACAGAAGAGTTTCAGCAGCATAATACTGACAAGTTACATGGGTGAAAGTTAAAAAAGGGTAGAAAAGGGTGCATATAATAATTCTGTTGTATCATTCATCAAGTTAAATATCCTAAGGTACCATAAAATTTTTTCATATAAAGAATTTAAGGATTCACTGAAGTCAAGCATATGCGTATTTACCTTTTTCTATTATTGTCAGGCCCTATATGAACATCTTAACAAAGGCTATACTTGAAAAAGTTGAAAATAAGTTCTTCAGTTAACAGGTTGCAAAAATTATTAAAATAAGATTTTATTAATTGCCTGAAATCCATTAAATACATGATTTTTTAAAAAAGTGTTCTCACAAAAGAACTGTTAGAAAGCTATATACAACTCTTCTGGCCCCCTTAATATGCTCATACCAGTAATTCAACTATGGGGAATGTATTCTAAAGAAATAACCTGAACTATGGAAAAAGCCTCATTTCTAGCAGCCTAAGTAGAAACAAATACACAACAGAGAAATGGGTAAGTAAACAAGAATTTAATCACTCAATGGAATAATACTCAACCATTAAATGTTTTTTACAAAAAGTTTTTAACATAGGGAAATGGTTATGCTATAATGTTAAATGATTAAAAGAAGAAAAGGCAAGATATAAAATTTTATATGCAGTAGTAACTGAACTACAAGAATAAATCCCAAACCCATATATAAAAATAAGAATGAAAGATAACATACCAACATATTAACAGCGATTAACTTTGGGTAGTGGGACTATGCATGATTCTTTCTTGGAGCATACTTTTCTATATTTTTCAAATTTTCTAAAATATCCCATTTAAAATTAAAGACATTCTTCTAAAAAGTAAGCTGTCTAAACATTTGAAGAGTATCTCTGCATGGTTTCTGTGATTTTAGGCTTTCCAGGGAATTCTTCTTACACTAAGGTTAGAACTTAATATATTGGATATTTGTGAAATGATTAGGATTTAAGTAACAGAAGGAAAAACTTAATAGCTACTTAGTACCTACACTGCATGCTAGGCACTTTCAAAAAAATGATCTTAATTAATCCCACAATCACTTCCATTTTACGTAAAAAAAAACTGAGGTTTAGAGAAATTAAGCAACTTATTCAAGTTTGTGTAGCTAGTAAGAAGTAATACCAATATTCAAAAACCCAGGACTATCTAATCCCAAAGTTTGAAGACTCTTTTCATCTATGCAATTTAGTTTCTAAGGTATACTTTAAATGAGAAAACCCAATAAGTGGTTATCATGATCCTAAGCAAGTGACCATGAGACCAAGAACCACAGGCTGCTTCAGACAGCCATGATGAACAGACAGGCACGATTAACATATTCTTAAACATGCTGCAGGATTTATACAGACAGTGGGGCCAACTGTTCTGGTGCTTCTCCAGAACAAAAGCCAAATGGAAAATGCTCGCTGTCTGTCCTATTCTCTCAATGCCATCCTCTTTTCTCAAGTAAAGGGAAGCAGTAGGTTGCTAGTTTATAAGATGATATCCATACTAATAAACAAAGCAATCACCATTTAAGTGCTGACTTCTGCAAATTTACAGACAGCAAAATTAAAAAAAATCATGATTCTACATTAAGCTAAGCAATGCTTTTGGCTTTCTAACACCTGTTAAAAGAATGATACTTATTAACCAGAATGTAGGTTGTTTAACAAACAAAAATTCTAATTAGCAAAGGCCCTGGCAAATTAATGTTTTATAGGCAAAACTATTTCTCACTTGTATCTCCTTCCTTGCTTTTCTCCCTCCCTAGGTGTTCCTGTTCTACCATCCTCAAGAAGCAGACATCCCAGATCCGTTAAAAGAAGCATTCTCCAGGAAGCGCTCTACAGTTAGCAGGTGTTCATCTCAAGCTCATTTAGAGTCTCTAGGGCATTTGCAAAATTTGGAATAATCAAAAACATCTTTCTATATTAATACATGGTTTTTTATGATAAGATGATATATAATCAAAAATTTTCAGACAGGAAGTGAAATAAAAAAGTAATTTCTGATTATTATTTCATTCATCAAAACATAACTAGCAGAATACCCTATTAACTGAACATTCTGGTTAATAAAGGTTTTATCATATTAAAGACCTCATTGCAATTAGCAGGTTATTGGTGGGATTACGTTCACTAAGTAGCAAATTGTCTGTTGAAAAATTATATGTCCTGTTCTCTTTAGTTCTCCAGGAGGGGAATCTTCAAATACTAGAATTAGCTATCATGAAAGCTGCGTTAGAGCTGCTTGTACTCACTAATTAAAAAAAAAGCCATAGCAACTGAATGATTTTGTAGTATAAAACTCTTGAAATAACATCTCTCAGATGTTATATTCACTGAAAACATAGTTCAATACCAATTTGCTCAATTTATTGCTATAAAAAGACCCACTTGAGAACTATAATACAGAAGGATTAGAATGACAATTTTATACAGGACACTCTATTGAAATATGCATAAACTATTTTGTAAGCGTATTTATCCTGCTAATAATACTCTAACCTAGATTATCTAGTATTTTACTGTTAAATACATTCCATGGAACAATGAAAATTATACCTTATATTCCCAACTATTCCAATGTAATATGACTAAAGATGGAGGGAAGGGTGAGGGAAAGGAGAAATAATGCTAAATTTTATACTTCTCTCTTGAAGTTGCAAATCAAATGACAAATTTAGTCTATGATTATGATTTTTCATAATTCTCTAACAGGAAAATAGAAACCTATCTTAAAAAAGAAGCATTTTAAAAATTACAGCTGAAGAAATAACAGCCTAGGGGTTAGGTGACCCCCCCACACCCCATCACTCACTAATGATGTTCAGGGCAGAGCGGTCCCCTGGCCCGTCTCTCCTGACTCCCAGACAGGTCGCTCTCCATTACAGTGCTAGGAAACGTTGTAAACATGACTATGTTCAGAGAGCTAAAAGAAAAGTTCTTACCGACTGCAAAACTGTTTCAGGACTTTTATCTTCATGTTCATGTGATGCCTTGGTAATTAATCGAATAGTTTCTTCTTTCAAGTGCTTTGAGAAATCACTTCTTGATGGCTGCTCTAGATATTCTGGTTCTCCTGCTTGTGCTTCATGAGAAAAGAATCAATTGTATATCTAATATAAATCACAGAAAGTCTATACTAAGATGAATTTGTTATTTATTTCTAATTCAGAGTGATATAGTAATCAATTTTACTCTTCTACTTAAAGTAACATATCCTTCAATATACAGCACTTTCCTCAGAATTTACCAAAAAAACCTAATAATAATAAATAAATCAGATCCAGTAGTAGTCAAATAATTACTGAACGAAGTACTCATTATCGTATATGGTAAAGAATTCATAGTAAATTTGTCTGCCATGATAAGTATCAAAACCTCATTTTTGAAAATCATGAGCATTCTACCAAATGAAAAAAAAAAAAAAAAAAGAATTTGGTTTGTATAACAATCCTAGTCTGTTTCCACAGAGAGCACAGTAGCTGTTTTTCTGGCCCCAGCATCCTTTTTCATAGCTACTTGATGAAACCATAACCCTGAAGGAACCCAATCTTTTATTTTTTCTGAACCTACCTCTGGCAGCTGAGTGTTGTCACAGGAAAAACAATTATAACTCGGCAGAATAGTATTAATATAAATTTAAGACTTCAAATACCATCCCTGCGAAGAACTCCCCAAGTTATATCAACTACCTGTGTTCTGAGCTCCAGACCCACAGATGCAACAATGTATGCTGAACGTCCACTGGGTGTTCCGTAGTCACCCCAAAGGCTTTACGTAAGTGGGCCTCTGCCTATCTCTCCAACATAACCTTGTGTCCTTTGCCCTTTGCTCAAAAACGAACATACACTAGCCTTTCTTCAGCTTATCTGAAACACATCAAAGAAGAGGTTTACCTTCCAGCCTTCAGATCTTTCCCTCATTTTCTTCCCTCTGCCTATACGTTCACCCACTCTCACTCCCCCATCTAATAACTTCAATATATCCTTTTGTTTAAATACCACTTCCTCATGGAAGTATTCCCGATTACACCACCTCTAGAGCAGGGTCTCCTCAGCCTCAGCACTATTGATATTTTGGTTTGGATGATTCTTTGGTGTGGAGAGCTGTCCTGTGCATCCTGGCCTCTACCCACTAGAAGCCAGTAGTACTGTCCCACCAGCTGTAACAACTAGAAGTGTCTCCAGTATTGTCAAATGTCCCCGGTGGGGGAAAAATCACTCTGAGGTGAGAACCACTGCTCTAAAGTAACTCATACTTTCTTTTTAATAGCACTTACCACAATTATGACTTAGTTATTGTTGTAGGTATCTGTTTCAAGCCCATATCTCCTGCTAGACTATAAGAATCTCAAGAGCAGGGATGCTATCTCCCTTTTCTTTGCTATTTCTTCAACACCTAGCATATAATAAGCACACAATAGTTTAATGGAGCAAATGAATTAATAAATAATTAATGATTGGACATGATGAATAAGAAAGTACACTAAAATGTTCCACAATGTTACTGGGATTGGTTAAGTGAGTCCTTAAGCTCAACCAACTGGTGAGTCCTTAAATTCAACCATAAACTCAAACAACTGATGGGACGTAACAGGGCTACTGTCATCCTTTCCAATATTTATTAATTTAAAAAAATCTCTCAAAGTAGAATATTATTCAAAAAGAAATACTATAATTTCAACATACATGTATGGTTATCCACTTATCCAATAAATTTTAATTAAGCATCTAACTATGTGCCAGGTACTGGGCTAGATATTGGGACCTCAAGGTAAATGAAGCAGCCAGTCTCTGCCTCCATAAAGCTTATACTCACCTATGGAGAAAGTCATTAACCAAAGAATCACACATATGAATTGGGACAATAGTACAATAATATATTCTAGGAATAAAATGGGGGAGGGGTAATTTAGATTATGTGATATGAGATAAACTGACTTTTTAGCTGAAGGATGATTGGTTGAATTTGCCAGAAGGAAGAATGAATAGCTCATGTGGTGAGCACGAGCTGGATGTGAGAGAAGGCCAGTGTGGCTGGACTCCAGGAGAAGAGGAAAGAGATGGCAAGAGATGATGCAGGCAGGGGCAAAATCATTAAGGGCCTTGGAGTCACATAAAAGTTTTGATAGCAAAAGGAAGTGAATAAAAGTTTTAAATACAATGGCAATGTGGCAAGTTTAAAAAAAATTATTCTGGTTACATTGTGAAGAATGGATTAGAGAGGAAATTAAAACTAGAAGTCAGTGAAGGTACTAGAAAGTACTAGAGCAATACAAGCAAGAGATGACTGTGCTTTTGGATAACAGAGATAGCAACAGAGGTAGAGAGAATAGGTGAGATTCAAGATGTATTTTGGACATAAACATTTGGAGACTGATGTGAAGATGACTCTAAGATTTTGGGCATGAGTAACTAGGATGATGGAGGTGAACTGTACTATGACGAGGAAAACTAGAGGAAGGGATGTTTACAATGTGTGTGACAAGGAGAGGAGTTAAAAGATGTTAATGTCCTCATTTCTGTATTTTCTGACTTTGGACTGCAATGTTCTTTCAGTGCCCCTATATGATGAATAAGGTAAAAAAAAAGTCCTAGGCTACTCCTCCAGCTTAGCAGGGCTTCTGCTTCATGATCAGTGCTTAAGCCAGCTGCTTTCGGGCTTAACAGAGAGAAACTTCTTGTAGATAAAGTTTTTACTTGTGTTTGCCCCTCTTTGTCTCTTCTCACTATAACAAATAAAACACCAATGTTGATAGTAGGACATGAGCTTAATGCAACGAGGGTCGAGAAATTCACCTGGTCTGACATTGGTCTAACCCATTGAAATCTGGACAATCTACATAAAATAAGTCTTTAGGAACAAAAGTAATTTCATCTGATCAACACAGTCAAATATACCTTAGGTCATCAGGGTCAAGGTTTCCTTCCATACAGGGACTTGCGTACAAAAACCTTATGAGTAATGCTGAATGACTTTGCCTAAATGCCATACAGAACTATTTCCTCTGGAGTTTTCCCTGTGTAATATCTTCCATGGAACTTATTTGAGTAATGCCGTAGTCACAGTACGTGCAACTATAAGGAGTCAAGATCTGGGAGTTTGGAAACAAAAACCCAAACTTCATTCCCAACATGTTTATTGAGCCTGTGCCATTGTCAGTACTGTGCTAGGTATTAACAATGTAAAAAAAGAAGTTGACATAAAATTCACTCATTTTAAGGAACTATTGATAAAAATCACATAAATATATACTCCATTACAATACAACATACTGAATGCAATAATGGAGTTATGCACAAGGTTCTACAGAAGCACTGTTGACCCAATACACACACATGGGATGATGTTGCATGTTAAGAAAGACTTTCTAGAAGAAATGCCAACTGAGCTGAGTCTTGAAGGATTTGTAGAGAGGATTATCTTGGAGATGAGAAAGAAGAAGATTCCAAGCAGAAGGAATAGCATATGGAAAGGCATTGTAAGGACAGATAAAAGATTAATAAAATCTTTGCTATTAATGAGTCTTTATACTAGTAAGCAAGTCAAAATATAAGTACAACATAAATTTGGTAGTGAGAATAGATTGGGATTAAAAGGAAAAATATAACAGCTGCTACAGAGGTAATATCAGGGGAACTCATAAAGACTTTGGGATATGAGAAAGATCTTAAAGATTAGGCAAAATTTCAAGAATCAACGATTAGAGGACACTTTTTAAATGAAGGATACTTCATGAGCAAAGCCATAAGGTTAGGAAAGTTCCCTATAAGCAAGAGTAATGGGGAATAATCTGATTTCGATATAATATAAGGTAATTCATAGGGAAGTCATCTTGGAAGAATTACAGGGAGTCAGTCAGATTATAAATAGAGGGTCTTCATAAAAAAGAAAAGAGGTTTTGGCTTGATTTTGTCAAACTGGAAGAGTAAAAAACATGATTAATAGACATATAACTAAAATGAGGAAAATCAAAAGCTCTTTCCACTACCCAGAGATAAGCAGTATTAATATTTTTAGTATTATATACTTTCAGACTTTATGCACATTTTTCAAACAAAAAGAATTATTCTGAATATAATGTTTTTAACTTAATACAACCTTTTTCATGTCAATATAATTTTTACTGGTTATATTGTGTTCTTCTGTATGGAGGGCTCATATAACTAATACCCTACTATACATTTAGGAAATTTCCATATCTTTGTTAAAAACAACTGTAGGACAAAAAGTTTGATTTTTTGTGTGTGTATATATACACACAAGGGTTTTTGTTCATCCTGTAACCATATAGAAGCCTTATCATTGCTGGCCTGTATAAATGGTAGGAACTCAATAAATAGAGACCACACTGCTTCTTTACGTATGTTCTAACTGGCACTTCATATACTAACTGGCCCCTCAGTTTAATATATTATTCAGGCTTCAGTTTGGAATACAGCTGGTAATTACTTGTGTACCATTGGTTATTCTTAATTCTTGGAAGTCTTCCTTGGTTCCCTAACTACAGCTACAAACTTCTAAATGCATGCATTTCACTGTGAGTGACCAGTTTTCTATGAGGGTATATAATATCCCTGTACCTAAAATATCTCTCAAATCATTTATTTGTTATATAGGGGCTTCACTGAGATTTCTGGATGGCTATCCTCCACACAAGAGATTTTCTAGCCATGCTCTATGGTGATGTATGGGCTTCATTCACCTGTGTGGCTGTTACAGAAGATCCAACATTCTGAGTACTCTGCTCCTCTGGTCCAAGTTCACGCTGAAAGTAAGGGATTGGGAGGGCCTGGGAGTGTTCTACTTATGTGTATTTCCTGGTTATGCTCTTCAACATTTTAAGAGGAGAGTCAACTCGACAACCAATTAGCTTTCTGTTAAAATGTAAAGATCTGCTCTTTAATCAACTATATATTAAAAAAAGGAACAACATCTCATATCTTTAAGAAGTATTTGATACCTTGACTTACTAATGAGTCATACTTATTACATTCACATTTAGAAGAATATACAAAGAGGACTGCTTCAAAGATATGCAATTAATTCATTTCTAGAAATGTATTTAAAATCAACGATTCCAGGCCAGCCCCGTGGCTTAGCGGTTAAGGGTGCGCGCTCCGCTACCGGCGGCCCGGGTTCGGATCCCGGGCGCGCACCGATGCACATCTTCTCCAGCCATGCTGAGGTCGCGTCCCACATACAGCAACTAGAAGGATGTGCAACTATGACATACAACTATCTACTGGGGCTTTGGGGAAAACAAGGAGGAGGATTGGCAATAGATGTTAGCTCAGAGCCGGTCTTCCTCAGCAAAAAGAGGAGGATTAGCATGGATGTTAGCTCAGGGCTGACCTTCCTCACAAAAAAAGAGAAAAAAAAAAAAAAAATCAATGATTCCCCAAAAAGCAGCTTAAAAGAGCTATGCTAGGCTAGCTGCCTAGAATCACCAGAGAAACTTTTAAGACTTCAAATTCCTGGGTGCCACCACAAACAGAATCTTAGGAATGTAGCGAGTAGAGGCTTAGGAACCAGAGTTAAACCTAAAATTTATCCAGGACAGAGCTGTATCTGCACCACACATTTTTAGCCTGCTTCCCTAATGTATAATTATTTTGGCTATGCTTTTAAAATGTTGGTATTCCCATGCACTGAAGATCACTCCTAGGAAACTCATTATTGGAATCTCCATAGGAAAGGAATTCAATTCAGAAAACATTCAAGGGGCATCTACCATACATCTTATATTATGCTGGAGATTCTGGAGATATAAATAAAATCATCACCCAGTCCCTGCTTTGAAATAACTTGAGAATACTGAGGATACTGTTCATTCTACCAGGTCTCTCTCAGGAACCAGCTGTACTTTCCTGGACCATCAGCTTATTTTTAACTTGTAGACAGTATTTGTAGAGAAGTCTCAGAGCCAATTCTGCATTCCACTTTAGGGGAGCTTATGAAATCTTATGGAATGCATTTCATACCAATATTAACAATTTTTACCGTATTTTTTTCTACCCTTATTTTTTTCCTTCAATTTATTATTTTTTAATCTTCTTTTTTAATGTATGTTGTAAGGACTTCAAATACTTTTTGAAAAAGATAGGAGTAACACAAGTAAAATAACTCAGGCAAAGCTCTTTTCTCCTTGAGAATAACTTCTCTGTTTTATAAATACAGCCTAAAGCCATGCTGCTTAACCAGAAGTACACCTCAGAATTATCTGAAGATCTTTTTAAAAATATATATTCTAGACCCTTCCTCCAGAGATTCTGATCCCAATAAGTCTTAGGTGGTCTTACGTGGGGTGTGCTGTTTATATTCAGAAAAAACCCCCCCAGGTATTTCTAATATATACACCCATAGTAAATGACTACTAGCTAGATCTCTAAACCTAAGTGTTCAGGTAAGTTTCTTGGCAGTAAGTAGGTTTAAGGAGGTAGCGTGAGATGGACCAGATAATACTCTCCCATCATCTATTACCTAGTTTCAGTAAGACAATGAATGGGACTAGAGAAGTGATACCTATGGATTTCTTGGTCATATGATAGCAGAAGAGAAACAAACACTCGTTTAATTAATACTATACAAATATATATTCTTATTTAGAATATCACTCAGAAGAAATAGGATTTTAATGGTTCTTGTGATATAGCTTCATTGAGAAGATTTGCAGAGAGAGAATAAAATCACTTCAATTTTATGAACAAGATTTCCTTGTATTACTTCCACTAGTCACTCATAATCCTAGTACACACCTGACAGATTTAAATACAGGCTCTCTTTGATATTCTGAAAGTATTATACTAAATTAAAGAAATTACTTTTTTTTAACTGTATAGAAAACTGTGAAGAGAAATAGGAAGAAGATGGCATGTGCATTAAAGTAAAATTTCTCTGCTAATAATAGGGGATAAGCCCCTCCAATAAACATTATAATAAGTTCCCTTGTTCAATTGTGATCTGTTAAATTCCCCTGCAACAAAGGATAGATTTCTTAATATATGTATGATAATATAGTAATAGAAACCACTCTTTTAAACGATAACCTCACTCCCCAAATTTATCGACTTAGTACATACTATTTCCACTAACTCAAAGTGCCTATTTTTAGCATTTCTATAGAAGACACAATGTTTCCTACTGAGGCAATACTGCCACTACTTTCTAAAAACCCAGTCTGGAAGATAATGATCATAACAGTTATACATGAATTGACCAATTCCATCTTTTTATTTTTTAGTTATTTTAGCTCCTCTCAGAAATATATCTGCATCTCTTCAAGTTTTTTAATATTAAAAAGAGAGACATAAAAATATATGCCAAAACACCTACTACTGAATTATTTTTAATTACAAAACAGCATATGAAGTGTACGGTAGAAAGAAATGATCAGGATAAAAGGTGTGGGGCATACAGACGTGGCCTTTTTATACAGAGGGAATATAAGACGACAAATGTAAATGGTAGGGCAAAGTTGGCTAGTCCTGGCAGACAGGAATATCAGTAGGGAATAGGTATTAGTTTGACTTAGTAGAAATAAAATGTGTTAAGTCTGTAAACTTAAAGAGTCTTGTGAGAAACAGACAAGATGAAGAGGAGGAGACTGTATAGACAGAATTTAATATTTTTGTGTCACAAAACAGGTGAGCCAAGAACAGAGTTGGAGCTTAACCAATGAATGGAGGATTCACCTTCGTCTGAGCGCTTAGGTATCACTACCACTCACGCCAATTATGCAGCTCTGTCCTTCCACTAATAGTAAGAACAGCTACATGCAAATGGAGTACATAAAAGTTAGGGGAAGAATAACCCACTAGCTCTATCTTGGGGTAAGTTCTAGGGAGCGATTTGGGTAGGATATGTACAGAAGACGAAGATGAAATCACAAAGGAATGGAATTGGCTCAAAAATGAAAGGAACTATAAAGTAGTTACTACACTGTGATTTGAGCTCAGGAACCTCTTGATATCTACCTAGTTATTTCATTTCCTACTAATGTGGACAAAATCACTGTAATGAAACTGCACTGTTGTGAAACCACAGAGCTTCACCTGTTCTACATGGTGGTCCTTGATGTATGAGAAGAAAGTGCAGGTCTGCATAATGGTAGAGCTCACCAGAGTACAATGGTGGTGTTCAGATATACTGTATTACATTTAAGTATCAAAATGTTGGTATAATACCATTATCTTGGTCTTTTAAAAATTCTGATTCAATGCCTCTTAAGAGCGAAATCAAGGACTCAACCTCTCAATTTATATGAAAACAAGTTAGTAAGTCTGGACAGATCTGTGCGTGCCTGCATCAGTCAAAATACCATACTGTGGTACTGTGAATCTCCCACTGAAAGAATTCCTTCTAAAGTGCAAACGAAAATGCTGAAACCCACCTAGGGAATGCTGCACGGGAATCTGTCAGTAAAGAGGAAATTAAACACACACCTAAAATACTTCCTTAAAAAATTAAAAAAAAAAAAAAACCACACAAACATTGCAAAAAAAAAAAAGATATTCAAAAAGGTCCACTCAGTTAAAAAAAGAGACAAATGAGTTTGAGGAAAACATCTGTGCTTAATTTATCTCTTCTCATTTCCCCAACTACTACAGAAAAAAAGCACTTTTTCTACAGTAGGAAATATGTTGCCCTAAAATATATTAACAAGTCAGTGATGATGAAATTAATCTTTAAAAAAAAAAATCAGATGACACTCTATTTTCAATTTTGCTAGAGCATATTTTCTTTCTTTTTGTACAGTGTTTATTCTGAATATTTTATTGATTTCATCAGCTAAAAATTTTAGAATATTTTTTAATATTTATACTTTTACATCTATCTCTGTTTTAAGATCTATACACATTTTTACTTAGAAATATTAAATATTTAGTTTTGACTATTTTTGTTTTTAATTTTAAGAATTCTGAAAAGATTCTTAAAACACTCTACATTAATAATGCTATTTCAGTACTACACAAAATATATATGGATATAACAGTAGGATAATTTTGCTCAAACATGAAATTACTAGAGTTCATTCCCTTGATAGCTTTAGTGAATTGGTTTGAGTTACTTGCTGGTTTCACAGCTTTTCCAAGCTTCCTGCCAAGAAGGGTGAAGCCCCATCAAACTAGGCAGGAGAGGTAGAAGGAGAGTTAGCAGAATCACCTCATTTAATTTGAGAAGGTATATATGTATACAGCGGTATCTGGCAAACAGGAAACTAAATTGTTACCTGTGGTTATCTCTGAGTGATGGAATTTCAGATGATTTTTACTGGCTTCTTCATACTTAAAGATAATTAAGTTTTTTTTTCAATGATTATATCTTATTTTTATAATAAAACATCAATAATAAATATGATATTAATAATAAAATAAAATTTAATAAAAATGGACTAACCTGTTGTTACAGAAGATTCTGACTCCCTCAATTTCTGAGATGCTAAAAGTTTTTCCTGCAAAGCTTTCTGGGCAAGTTGTGCATCCCATTCTTCTAGTTCTTTTTCAAATTGGTGGTTGTCTTCTTCAACAAAATCTCTTAAATCCGGTGGTAATGTTTCTATTCCAACAAGGGCCTGCCCAGTTTCTTTATTAAACTCCTCTGCAAATCATATTTCAAAAACTAATATAAAATTAAGAAGTAAAGGAAAAATGCAAAGCTCAAAATTGAATGCATTTCGAATGGGATTGAAAGTATGAATTATTACCAATTAGCAAATCAGTGTTGCCTAAAAATTAAAAGAAAACTCAAACAAATGCTCAGAAAAGCAATGATGCAAATCTTTAACAATCCATTATAAATAATGTTCTCAGCTTTTATTTTTAACCTGAAGAGTAAAAAAATGGAACAAGACATAAAGCCAAAACTGTATGCTATTCAAACACTGACACAGTACTACTTTTTCTATTATAAGAAAATATCAGGTCTTTGATTATTTGTTAAGTAAAACTTATCACAAAATGAGAATAAATCATAACATTAAGCTCAAAATAGAACTAAAACTCCTGTTCATCTGAAGCAGTTAAGCAGCAATACTATACTTATAGGGAATTTGAAAGAAAGAAAGCAAGACTTTTTAAAACATTACGTAAGTAGTATTTTTTTAAAAGAGTTACTCAACTTCTACTACACACATACAAAATAAATTTTAGCTTTCAGTCATAAGTGGACCACCTAGTTAGTTTTGCTGCATGGTTAAATACAAAAGGAAAGTTGATTTTATCAGTTTCAACCAACCTTTATTATTAACCTTTACATATTTTCTATACGTAAAGCCCATATTAGAATATGAGAAATAAAAAGATTAAGACAGAGTATGACATGGTCCCTGGCTTTGAGTAGATCAAAGTAAAGGAGAAAGACAAGTCAACATACAATTCCAACACACAATAAGTGTCCAATAGAGGTAAGCTATGAGAACACAGGGAGGCATACTTTCTGCCACGTCAAAAAAAACCTGTCAGAGCAGATGACCCCTGAATTGAATCTTTGACAGATGAGCAGGAATTAGACAAAAGAAGAAAGAAATAACAACATTACTGGCACAAAATAAAAATAAAAAACATAAGAACATATAGATATACATGTGTGAAATGATTTGGTGTGAGAAAACAGCAATAAGTTCAAATATCAGTAAAGTATAAAAGTTTGAAATGGACAATTGTTAAAAATGAAGCTGGAAGACAATCAGAGGCCAGAAAATGGAGGCCCTATATGTTAGGCTAACGAGCTTAACTATGGGTGAATGTGTGATGCAGTCTTTACAGGGGATTTTAGCAAGGAGAAACAGGTCAGACTTACATTTTATAATAGTCACTAAATAGTTAACGTTGAATACAAAATACATTCCAGGTCTCAGCCCTGGTCACATTACTTTTCAATTCCAGTTTTTGCACTTAAAAGAACTCAAGAGCACTTCCTAATCATATCCATCACCCTCTACGTGAATTACGCTTAACAAATCACACCAGAGACCAGAGTCACGTGAAAGGGCCACTTATTTAAAAATATACACCACCCTATATATTTCATATTCTTACCTTGTATTAAGAATTGTGCCTTATCATTTATGTACATTAAACAGTATGCACTGGCATTTCTATAACCACCAAAAGAGTCCCTCACTAGCTCTTCCCATGATGATTTTGTCACAGCAATATCATTGTACTTCATCCACCTGTTTTCACGATGATCAAAAATATATGCCCAGTAGTGCCCGGCATTCGCTTGGCCTTCATGAACTAAAACAGCATGTAAGCGATAAGGAACCTAAATATGAAAACAGAAGAGTTAAAGTGCAGTTAAGTAGTCTATTAGACCACATTCCATAAACCCCACAAACTCTCTGACTGGATGATACCATAGGAGCATATGGTTTTTACCAAGAGAAAATTGGCTGAGACTAAAATTTTGAAAAAATTAAACTATGAAATAAAAAAAAGAAGTGGAAGGTAAATAAGCTCAAGACATGTAAAGCAGACAGGTGTGTAAATAGGGTCATTTTCAAAGCTTTGAAAATGTATTTGTTATGTATGTATTTGTTGACCTATTTAAGTTATTTCTTGCAAATAAAGAACTTATGATGAACATTTTTATATACAGCACATGATTTGTCTAAATCTTCACAATTATAAATTGACAGCTGAGTTTAGCAAAATGGCTTATATAATGTATACGAAAAGTTAAAATGTAATTGACTCCTATACTTTCTCCCATAATCTTAATATCCTTAAACAACCATATAATTTCTCCCATAGGACTTTTTCTTTTAAACATTAAGGCCTTTTGGAAAATTCTGATAACTTTTACTGTAAAATAAAAAGAGTAAGCAATAAATACAGTATGAGAACACAACTGAATGGGGGAAATGTTAATATGGAATCTTTAATTTCAGCAATTTTACAACAACACAGGTTAAGGAGAATTAAGACAAATAAAAATATGTAAATAATTTTGATAATGCTAGCTCAAAATTTAACTTACTTGGATCATAGATTTGTCAGAGTACATTAGTTCAATTGTTCGATGGATTCTGGATATGCTTTCCTGCAAATCTAAGGATAGAAGACATCATTTAATGATTAACATCAACTATGCTTCTACTGAGATTTACAAGGTAGGGACTAAAGGTTTTCCTACCAATGTGTTAGAAGAATAAGAAAAAATTCCTAAAATTATTCTTAAAAACATTACTTTCTGTAGTCTGTATAAAATAAAATATAGTTCTCCTCAATAAAAGATACAGCACAAACACATAATTAAAACCAAAACAATTATGGTTCATCTAGAAAATGTGCAGAGCCAACAAAACTGAACTTCGTTCAAATCTATAAAGTTTCAATGAAAATTAAAGCTAAACCCCCTTACATATTTATATAAAACAGAAAAACTTCAGAATGAAATAACTTCACCACAAATCTTATATATACAAGTAATTTAATTAAAAAATCCACTTTAATTACCAATGGAAATAAAGTTATGTGACTCCCATTATTCATTATTTCCTCTTCCAGTAGAAATTCACCCTACAAAATTATTCAAAGGCAGGGATATTCACAGCTATATTGTCCATAATAATTATAAAAAACTGGAGACAACCTAAATATCTGTCAATAGGGAAATGGTTAAATTATAGGACAACCACACTATACTATGAAGCTTTGCAAAGAATGAGGAAGAAATCATGAAAGACTACCAAAAAATATTAGTAACTTTAGAGTGGTGAAAGGCCTTTCTAAGCCTGATAAAACAAACCCAGTAACGATAATGGAAAAGATAAGACTCCCTCCCCAAACTTAAGAAAATCTACATTATAAAAATAAAACAAACAAAAACCAATACAAGGAAAGTCAAATGATAAAGAAAAACTAGGAAAATAGTTATCTGCAGCATACACTACAGGCAACAGGTTAATACCCACGACATTAAAGTTTCTATTAAGCAATAACAGAAAGACAAATGGCTCAATATAAAATACGGATAAGTGTCACAAACAAGAAATTTATCGTAAAATAGAATTTCACTCATAATTTAAGGAAATGCAAATTAAGACACTGAAATATTTTTTCAACTATCAGACTACCACAAATTAAAAAGTGCCCAGGACTAGGGAGTATGTTGGAAGACAGGCTCTCTCATACACAGCAAGAATGTAAACTGGATCAATGTTTTGGGGGGAAAATTTTTAAATAGTCAAAATTTAAAATATATATACCTTGGACCAGAAATGGTACTTTTAAGAATATACCCTACTCACAAAAGTGTGTCAATATGTATTTAGAAGGCCAGCACTATTTGCAGTGAGTATCAACATAGAAATTAAATTACATCATATTCATATGTTGGAATACTATATAATACTTTAAAAAATAATGCTCACAGCTAATATCAACAAGGATGAAAGAGAGGAAAGAAATATTCCAAGGAAAATTTTCTTACCTGATCTATAGCATTATTAAGGTCCAAAGTATTAAGCATTAAGGCTCAAAATCTCATTGCATGAGTGACTCTCAAGTTCCTCAACTTTTAAAATGGCCAAAAGTGGACTCCCCATATTCCTACTTCCTCCCCCGAGGTGGGGACCTGCTCACCCACCTGTGTGCCCTTTTCCAAAGTGCATTCTATCTAGTTATTCATATTACTATGAATAACTAAGGGAATCATCCCTGATTCCTCCCCCTCTCTCGTCTCTTGTCAATCAATGACCTATATCTGTCAGTTGTCTCCAAAGAGAATATCAAATTCATTCATTTCTTTCCTCCCTCAACCACTATCTTGGTGTCAAAAGCTTCCTAGCTTCCACCCTTCTGAATGTAATTTTATAAAGACAAACACAATCTGCCAAGTCCAGTAGGAAATTATCCAACACCTAGCACAGTGTTCAGGAAACACTATGTGCTTAATTTAATGTTTGCTAATGAATTCTTATATTAAAAACTCCCTTATATATAAAAAATACTAAGGGAAATCTCTTTACAGTTACTAATGCTAATTGTTAGTCACCATCACATCCTATTTACTCTCTATTAAATTAAAACTGCTCTTTATTTACATATTGTCTAATAAAGAGTCAAGTTGGGCAACTAAAATCCAACAATCAATATTGTTTAATATAATTCCAATCTTCTGGTATGAAAGAGTAGCTCCTAGAATTTTCTTTTTTCAAGATCAATAAAATTAGGATAACACTGCAGGACAATAACAGGGTATTATATTTTGACATCTAAGGAAAAGTTATAATAAAATCTACCATAAAACATGGACAGTACTTCATTTAAAAAAAAAAGGACATTTTAACAATAGTAAGGTAGGAAGAAGATAATTTCAGATAAAAGGAGAGTTCCTTCCAAGAAAGGACAGATGGCAACTTAACCCCAATATACACACTTGCACGTGCACACATATACACGCCCCACACAGCACTATCCTTATTTTTCTTACTTTGCAACATGCCAGTTAAAACTCATTACAGACCGGCACTGAGTTCACAGATCATATTTGGAAATCTCTGTTAGAGTAGACTGAAAATTAAAATTCACATTTCTAATTCTTAAATCTAAAGAAAATTTTCTATCACTTGAACTCATTGTGCAAACATCAGGGGAAGTACATAATTGATAGGCACAAAATTTGATGCTGTATGTTTCACAGTGGAGTAGCTGTGAATACAGGATGATATAAACTTAGAGCACTAAACTAGAAAATCAGATCCTCTGCTATGTCATTAATCAGCTAAGTAATACAGGGAAAATCTTTCAGTCTCTCTGAACCTGATATTAAGATCATAAAAACTGGAAGCCAGACTAGTTTATCTTATAGAAAACACATTCTAGAAAAAAAAATACTTTATAATATTTACACATGAAATCCAGAGGTGATTTCCCTTTTCAATTGTAACGTTACACAGATCCATCTGAGGCGACCGTAGCTATGTTGTGAGACGCTTCTTACCTCTGGTGTCATTTTCTATTTCTGTCCTCCAGCGATGTAAACAGCTTTCTAGCACAGAAAGTTCTTCTTCTGTTATGTGCCTTGGTGCTGGATGCATGGGCAAATCTGGAGGTATCCGAGACTGCGTGAATGGTTTATGTATTACAGATCTCGATGAAATGGCAGCTACTGGTGCAGGTGACGTGCTTGGCAGTTCTGAAGAAGGAGTTCCCTGTTGTTCTGCTGTGCTGTATTTTTAAATCACAGAATATTTATTATTAAACTTGCCAAACTAAAGTTCTGGACAAAGACTGTACCAAACACGTAGTATTAAATTGGCTGATAATTTCAAAAGGAAAAGATCTTCTTTAAAGAAAGAGAAATATGTGGATTAATTTAAGATACTAATAAGATTCTTAATATATGAGGGATACAGTATTATAAGGATGAAATTGTGGCTTTATAGTAGAAATGGTTTAATCATATTTACTTAAAGAAAACAAATCTCATGTATACTGGAATTATAAAACCTTCTCTTGCTAATACTTACTAGCATATATTATAGCAAAATAATCTAATTTATCGGTATTCTTTTCATGGATAAAAGGTTGAAACATTTAACATACCAAAACAAGCTAAAGTATAATTTTGAACAGAAAAACACATGACGAAAATTTCAATCCACAAATATAAAGTCTATTGAAACAATGAAATAAGAAAGCCCCCAGAAGACATACAATCTTCTAACTCAATCTAATCCTTTTAGAGTCCACTAAAATAAATCACAACATGCATTTCATAAAACCTTTACAAGCATCAATTACATTATTATGTGATATAGGTAACATAGCTGTCTTGCATCAAGAAAACTTTTTACCTTGGTAACGTCTGTGATGGTACGGAACCACTAGGTGGGGAACTAGCGTCAATATCATCAACAGGAGAAGTGCAGACAGGTTTACTTGAGGCAAATTCCAACGCGTACTGTAGAACATCTACCAGGGGGAATCGTTTGGGACCCGAACCATAGCTTAAATATCTGTTAACCATAAAATGTATGAATGCTTTTATTTGTATATAAAGCACATTTGTTTTTTTCAATAATTGTTATAAAACATGATAAAAATATTTCAATAATCTTCCTCAACAATGAAATTAATTTTGCTTTCAGATGAAGACAGTAAAACTGAATATACACTCAGGAAATAAATTAAATGTTCTCCAAAGCTGATTAAGACTGAATGTGTGTATAAACTGTTAAAAATTTAAAATGCTGCTCTAAGTTGTAATCCAATAAGAAAATGAAGACTGACAGTTCCATCTCCTGAGACCATTTTTATTTTTAGATGTGTCATCTGGTCTCATGATCAAGATGGTGACTAATATTATCCTCCTACCTTTTACTTCTGATTATTTGTTAGTATGATTACTAATACCTTTTAAGAATAAAAATTATTGAATATGATACATTATTTTTGTATAAAAAAGTTTTAGGCTATTAAATTTCAAATTAATACTAAAATGAGAGAATACAGATTAGATCTCTCAGGCCACATTTCAGCCTGCAGACTTTCATCTGATCTACAGAGCATCTGGCAGTCTAGATTCTGGCATCTTTTGGAAACAATCCGAAGCTCCAGACAACGAGACAATATTCACGCACGGCACCACCCACTAGTGCAGGTGGCAGCCACTTGCTCTCCACAGGGATGTGGTCTCTAGGCAACCCTTGCCCACCAGCTTACACAACTTGTTTCCCTTCTTTATACAGCCTCCATGAGGCATCTGAGCTAGTATCTTCCGTGTTAAGGAGAAAAAGTCACCATTTGTTTTAATGGAAATCTCAAGAGTAATATTTAGTCTCACACAATAAGAAACTTTAATAATAGATTAGTTTAACTTTATATCTATTTTCAGCACCATGAGCATTACCTGTTGACAGTGAGAATATTTAACTTAAAACGCTAAAATTATCTTCTTCCAATTATGCCAATTATGGATTATTTTAGTTTCTAACAAAACTCAAAACCAAACTATTCTAGCAAAATAGAAATCCAGAATGATTATCTACTCCTGGAATTATAAATCACTCAAGGCAAATTTACAATTAAAGATTCTAGACAGTCACCAGAAATATGACTTTCTGCAGTTAGCTTATAATTTTGTAAAAGTTACAATACCTTTCTAGTCTCTGTTGTAATACTGTGAGGTAATCTTTTAGTCTCTTGATCTCTTCCCTCTTAATTCTTGTTATTTCTCTGTTTCTGTGCATGTATCTATCAGGAAAAAGAAAAATAGCAATCATTAGTATTTCTAAATATCATGGAAGTAGATACAATATTAAGTCTAGCTAACACCACTGAAGATCAATTCATTTGAAATGATAAAATATCAGACAACTTTAAAATAGTATTTTTTAAAACTCTGACAGAATTATAATACAAATACAAAAATAATTGCTTTTTTAAAACTTCCTTATAACATTATTCCCAGTAACTATACTTCTCTAAATAGAAAGAGAACTCCATTTTCCTTGACAAATGGAATTAGATATATTATGCAAAAAATAAAAGATTTAATTCTAAGGAAATTAAGCACAATTTTTCTCTAAACACAGTTAACAATTCTTCACTTGCTTACGAAACTGTTTCAAAAATAAGTCACGTTCTATTCCAAGCCATACCTGTCCAGATATAAAACTTGAGGAAATTCTAATTTGTTGTGAATTTTTTCTGGTCTTCCCAATGCCTGATTAAATTCAAATCTTGACAATTCAAATGTTAACACGGGTGGTAGTTCAGTAAACCAATGCTGAAAGAAAACAACAACAAAAAACCTGAATATCACCTGCTGTTTTCTCAATCACAACTTTAGGCACAGGATGTTAGCACTCGCATTTTAACATACATCGTCACAATGCTGACGTCACAAATAATTGATCAGGTATGCAATTTAGTTAAAACTCAACGTCAACTTCTTTCTAAAAATTTTCCACACTTCTTGAAAATTCCAAGGATGGGGATAACACACAACCAGGAAAGAGAAAAATCTTCTAACAACTCTCATTTTTCCATGATAATCCTTTACATTAGAATTTCTAACCCAAAGAGAGAGACATTGAATTTATCATGGCTTAGTAGCTCAAGTCTTCCGGTTTCTTCAATATTATGTCACTATTACTACCACGAATGGTATATATGCTTATTACAATCAACCATATTGTCAAAAACCTAGGACAACGTAATTTTAAGATGTAGTACACAAAGGAAAAAAAATATTTTAATAGCTAAATGATCACAATTCTTATGCTAGAAACTAGAAGCTGATATTTTCCAGCCTTAAATTTAATCTTCCTACATGAACTTTGACTAATTTAAGAAAAAGATCTATGACTAACAAATATGGAGTTTATACTTAATGGTTAACTATATTTAAAATCTTTTTAAATGATTAGCGTTTAAATAATTAAATGCCTTAGTGATAGGAGCCAACTCCTTCACAAACTTTGGCAACTGTTTAGTTAAGCATGAAATGCAACAAAACTTCAAAAGAAAATTATTTTCATAAAACAGGTTCAAGTTTTACATAAACACTATTTACTTAAAGAGAAAGAAAGATGAATAAATTGAGACTCAACAAATACAGAAGTATAAAATAATGTAACAAATACTTTTAAAGTGCTTATTATAAGCCGTGCAATGTACTACTATAGAAAGAAATTGCCACATACTATACTGTGTATGATATTTTCAAGTGCCACAAAATGCTACCACACAAATGTCAGTAAGCTAAGAGTACACTAATTCAAATTTCAAATTCAAACATCCAAAAAATGCAGGAATGATGCACACTTGACAAACTGGATTTGACTAAGACATTGAAAGTTGCTACTTTTCTCTAAATAAAGCTCATAATAGTAAATGGTTATTCAAAACTATTTCTGCCTCCAAAAATACTAATGATTACCTGAATTGATATTTCCTGAGTTGGATTTAGTTTATCTTTTACCGAAAGTTGAAGTTTAAGGAATTTGTTTTATATGGATGTTACCTGAAATTGACTAGAGAAAGTTACGAAAGATCAAATATCAGAAACTTCTCTTAAGTTTTAAAATTTCTTGAGCAAAGTCTGCTTATTTATTTTGTTCTTACATAGCACTTGCCAGAATTTTAGTTAGTTCTAATCCACACCTGAAATTACTACTAAGAATTAAAACATACTCCATATACATCACAAAGAAAACTTTTGATGCCTGAGGATAAATTCTCTATTCCATTTTCTGATACTCAAACAAGTAAACAGACTTCAAAAACTATTACTTTCACATTTTATTGCAATACTTCAAATGCCATCATTACAATAAAACAGTTACATACTTTAATTCATGGAAACCTACAATGGCCAATAGAAATCAAATGAACGAAATATGGTATACGCTTCTCTGTAGACCATCTAAAGTGCAGAAAATAGCTGCCATACCTCACAAAAGGATGTTCACAATATGTGAAGTTAATATGTCTCTGTTGTGAATGCATTTCCTCTAACAGCAGTGACAGTTTATTCCTACTACAGGAGTAAAGGAATTTCAATTTCTCACTCCATAGCTGATAGGAACAAGAAGAGAGAGCCAGACATTCCCTAAATTCATTTAAAAAAATATTATGGGTATATCTAGCTCTGCGATTTTAGGATGAGAAGTATAGCAGTACATAACCAGAATTTCAAATGATATAAAACAATGAGACTTTTTTTCCTTCAAAATATTTTTCCATTCAACGAAAAACTATATTTACTTCTCTAATCTAACTGGTATGCCATGCTTGTGAGACACAGGTCATTAAATGTAAAAATGATGCTTATATTCTCCAAATGTCTAAACACATATTATTATTATCACATTATATAAGGAACTTTCAGGGATAAGAGATTAATACAGTTACTGAATAAAGAACTTACATAATCAGCATTAGCAACAAAAGTGCTCCTGAATTTATCATGACTATAAATCTGACCTGTTAATAGAAATATTTTATAGCGAGAATGCAGTCATTTTTATGAGTTATCATAGCTAATTTTCTATTAATATGTTGTAAATACCTTGCTTTTGTGAGATTACATGAATGCTGGGAAAAATGCAGAAAAAAAAACAGACCTACCATTTCAAATTCCCCACAGAATACCAAACAAAGCCAGGATGTAAACTAAGCATGAGAAGCAAAAACTTCCTATTCCAATTCAAAAATTAGTTTCAATCATTTAATTGTCTTCACTCATTTGCCCTTTTCTTTTTAAAGATAAATTTCCCACGTAACATCTACATACATCTAATATGGCACATGTAGAGACTGTTTCTCTAATTTAGTTTCTAGTTAAAGTTCTGTTCAATTTTCTTTCAGCACTTTAATTACAACTTAGTACAACTTTGTGAAGGGAAATTCGGCAGTTTTAGATGAGTATGCCCTGTGACCCACAGATTCTACTTCTAACTATCCTTCATTCCTAAGTGCTCTGGATATTTATAGACAGACATTCTTTGAAATAATTCTTTGTCTAACTACTGTCATAGAAGAACTAAATCAATTTAATTTTATAAATACAAGCTATGAGATACTATGCAGGTTTTAAAAAGAATGGTGTAAAGCTATATATGGACATGGAAGGATGCTATAATATGCTGCTGGTAAGTGAAAAATGAAAGTCTCAGGACAGTCCAAACAGATAAATACAAATATTTATAAGGGCATAGCAATAGTCTAAAAGAATGTACAACACATTATTAGTAGTGAACACCCACACCAGAAGTGAGGTATTTACTATTCGAAATTTTTTTCCTCCAATAGGCAATCAAAAAATATCTCCAGGTTCCCTGGAGAGTTGGACTCATAATTTAAAATTTCATGATTTAGAAAAATATTTTGTAAGTAGTTATCTTACACAAAATCATTTCTAATTTACTCAGTTGTCCCTTAGTATATCATTCCAAAAATTTAAATTCTTATAGTCCACTGGATGTTTTAACATGACTGATTCTGGAGACTAAAGATCTTCCTATATTAGTTGAGTACAGCTATTTTAGCAAAAAAGATGTTTTCTATATCAAAGTAAAATCAACCATTTTTACTAAATAATAGTGTAAGAGATAAAAGATGTTATCAGGGATAGCCAATTTAGAAACAAGCTAAAATGTTACTCATTGGTCTTTAAAGAGACTCAACAAGAAATAAAACAGTTATTCTGAAGGATGTAACGAAATGAGACTATAATTTGAGTATATTATTAAAAACTTGTAAGATAGTCTACTCTAGTAGGTGACAGTCTCTTAAACCAAGTTGATTTATTATTGAAACTAAGTGTCCAGCAAATCCAGGCAAATGCTACTGGGAATCACAGGTAACCAAATTTGCTATTACTGAGACTGCTTAGAAATTGCTAAATTCAGAGAAGACAAACAATTGTATTCCTTCGGTTGGAAAAACCTAGGCAGAAAACATATACTGTAGTATCAGGCATTCAGAGTGGAGCCAAAGATGGAGGACAAACTAGATTTTTTTAAAATAAATAACGAAATTCAGATTCGATGTAAGAAAAACATTTTTAAAGGCTAGGGATATGTGAGAAAGATTATTTACCAATTAATTATTAAATTATTTACCAATAAGCCATAGTGTATTTCACTCATAAGCTACTTTGACAATGTAAGGAAAATGCCACCCCGTCTTTCTCTTCCCAAACCCATCATCCTTTTATTTAATAGAAAACAGATCATACTTTGGGACCGGGGGGTCTGCTTTCTTGTTCCATTATGGGATCCTGGGAGAGTCCCAATCTTTGGAGATCTGTTTCCCAATCAATAAAATAAATAAGTTTAATTTAAATATTCTTAATTAGAAGTCTGTATCAGAATCAGTTGTGGAGCTGTAATGCCCAAGCACCATATTCCTACCCTAGATTCTGATTTGACAGCTTTGAATTGGGGCCTAGGCATCTGTTGAGAATCACTGAAGCAGATGACCTATTATGTACAGAGAAAAACTATTTCAAATATTTTCTTTCTCTGCTTCTTTCCCTCTTAAAAAAAAAAGTCAAAAGATAGTCAATATTATTTCTTTCTTTTTTGTTGGAGTGTGTGAGGGGAGAGAAGAAAATGAGGATGGAATAAGAAAAGGTTAATTACATCTTTTTTAAAAAAGCACATAATTCAGATAGAAGCAATTTATTCTTAAAAATACAAGAACCCAGTCCCTTTTTAGACAAACACAGTGATATCATCCCTTAATATTTATTAAGCACCTATTCAGGGATAAAGACCTCAGAAACTTTTTTTTGGTAACACTGAGACATTTCATTCAGTCCGTCAATAAATACGTGTTACATAATTCTATTTGCAGTCACCGTACTAACCACTAGGGATAGAGCAGTGAATGACACAGATGAAGATCCCTATCCTCATGCATGGAGCTTACAAACAGACAACTACCAGCAATTGCTTAATGATGACTGATTTTGGAGCACATGATTTGTCCTTTGCTTTCTATTACAGGAATACTCTCTGATGGATGAATATATGGATGGATGGATGGATATACAGATGGAGCTAGAGAGATGAACGGAGAGACAGAGGTGGGTGATGAAACACAGACCAGTGGACAAAGATAAATAGGTTTATAATATATTTTTAAAATTATTTCTTTCTTGAGAAAGCAAGTTCTGCTATCTGCCCTTCATGCAATTAAATTACACAGCAATTTTACAAAAAAAGGAGTCTCATGTTGCCTATTTAGGCATGAAGAAATTCCAACAATACTTGACGTAAGTAACATATGTCTACATAAAATTCCACCTTAATATCAGTGTTTTTCTTCTTTACTTCCAGGAGTAGCATGCTGTAATGACTAGTACCTTGATTAAAAAGTCTGAAAAGACTGAACAATGTACTAAAGGAGGACTTTAACAGAAAATTTTGAGATAAATTGTGTGAGTATTAAAACATAGCTTATAGACTGTATTGACGGTATAGGTCTCTCAAATATGTCTAAATTACCATAATGAAATCCAAACACATATTCTGAGTATTCTCTCAATTATTAGGTAGCTACAGAATTAAAGCCTTAAATTGTGCTTTACAGCACTATAAGAAAGACCTAGGGGGAAGGGGAATAATGAAGACGCTAAACTCACCTCTTGGCCTGATTTTCCTGAATTCTCTGAATGTAAAGACTCAATTTCTCCTTCAATCATAGCAGCTTCTAGGCACTCATGTAGATCTTTGAATCCATTGACCTGAAGTGGGTACTGACCAAACATTTCAGTATTTTCAAATTTTTTACCTATAGGAGGGGGTAAAGTTAATTAAATTAATATTCCTCACTATGGTCTTTTAGCTACTAAAAGTATACATGAATTATCTCCTGAACCTGAAACTGTAACTCTGACAGGTTATGTTCCAGAGAGTAGTGCGTTAATGTGATTTCCTGTTGGTTTATACATGTACAGATGTACATTCATATCCAGCACAGATATTAATTACACACCTATATGTGTGTATATATATTTATTCTTTCAAAAAGTGCCTTCTAAGGGCAAGATACTGTGCTAAACACTGAGAATATGTATAGCAGTGAACAAAAGGGATAGGGATCTTGAGCTGAGAAAACTCTCAGCCTCATTCAGAAGAAAGACATATACAAATTAATTACACATATAATTATGAACAAATAAGTACTATAAAAGGTATAGTGAGACAGAGTGCTGTGAGAGGGTATAACCTAGTCTTTGGGGCTGGAGGGTTGAGCAGGGAGGACTTCCATAGCAAAATGACATTTTCGTTGAGACTTGAACGGTGAATGGAAGTTAGACAGGCCAGAGTGTCAGGGAGTTGTGAAGGATTCTTGGCCAAGGAATCACACACGCAAAGACGTTAAGGCTGCAAAGAACTTGGCATGCTTGAAAAACTAAGGGGAGGACAGTACAGCTTAGGAGAGCAATGCAGAGATGACGATGAAGAGTTAGGTAGAGGGTCAAAATCTACTAGCTCTTGTTAAGAATTTTTTTCAGTATATTCTAAGTATAACAGAAAGTCACTGAATAGTTATGTCTAGGAATAATAGAATCAGATTTATGTCTTTGAAACATCCTTATGGTTTCTGTATTAAATGGGTGGTAGACTGTTAGGAGACTATTACAGAATCCATCTAGAAATACAGGTAGCATGGTATTAATAGGGTATTAATATCAAAAGTGTACAAAAACAGAAAAAATTACCCATACACACATTTATACATATATACAAGAGGGTGCACCAACAAGACCTGATTGACTGGCTCGTAGGCAGGATGGGGGATAGAGGAGTAAGGAAGGTATCACGAATGATACTCAGATTTAGTATGAACAATTGGATTGATGTTTATGTACTGAAACAGATACCACTAAAGGAAGAGCAGAGGATTTTTTTTTCCTTTTGTTTTAAGGTAGTAGCGGAAATCGTTATAGAATGGCCCATGAGATTTCAAGTTGAGAAGAGAGTTGGATATATGAGTCTGTAACTAAGATTAATCTTCTACTCTGAAGCTATAAATTGAAGAATTGCTGGCTTATTGATAGCAGGAAATCAAGAGAGTGAACGAAATTGCCTAGGGAATTAGCAGACAGGAGAAGGAAGAGGGCCTAAGCTGAGTCCCAAGATCTCCTACATTTAGATACAAGAAGAAGAAACTATAAATATAACTTCTAAGAAGTGCCCAGAGAGGCGTGAAGAAAGCCAAGAAGAATATGACAAACAAAAATGTACAACCCAAAATTTCACAATGTTATAAACTATTAAAACATCAATTAAAAAAAAAAAAGTTCCACTAATTGCCCCTTAATCTCTATATCTCAACAATTCACAGTCACAGAAGCCTTCCCAGAGAAAGAACATCAGGATAACATTAAGTATCAATTAGCATGTGATAACACACTCTGTACCTTCCTTTTCATTCACTCAATTCTGTGCTTTCTATATAAATGATTAGTAGTAGCAATGCAACACGAACTACTAAACAGAATAAGTCAAATTAAAATTAAAAACCATTCAACAAATAAAAGAGTTACTACCAAGACAAAGGAGTTAACAGATAATATCTCTTCAATTGTAATAAAAAGTAAACATGTGTAACTATACCTTCAAGTACTCCCACAGCTAGGAATCTTCCATAGAACAACTCTACCATGGGGTTCTTTGGCTTCTCTTCATCCCTAAAGCATGTTAAAAAATACAAATGTGGTTATAATTTTTGGATCTATAAATAACAGAGAAAACATTAAATAACAATTATATAACAAGATGATAACATTTATGTGATTATCACGTACTCAGCTCTGCTATTTACAGTGTCACCTTGGATGAGGTACTTAAATTTATTCTTCCATTTCTTTACCTGTCAACTGAAGATAATAATGGTAACTGAATTCACAGGGCTGTCCTTCCTCACAAAAAAAAAAAAAAAAGAAAGTGGATACAGTCATACTAAAGAAAACGGACTTCAAGATAAAAAAGATAACGAAAGACAAAGATGGACATTATATAATAACAAAAGGGAAATTCCACGAAGAAGACATAACACTTATTAACATATGCACCTCACACAGCAGCACTAAAGTATATAAAGCAACTATAAACATGGAGAAATTGACAGCAACACAATAATAGTAGGGTACCTCAACACCCCACTTACATCAGCCGATAGATCATCCAGACAGAAAGAAAACTCGGAAACAGTGGCCTTAAATGAAACACTAGACCAGATGGATTTAAGAGATATATATAGAACATTACATCCCAAAACAGCAGAATACACATTCCTCTCAAGTGCACATGAAACATTCCCAAAGACAGACCATATGGTGGAAAACAAGGCAAGCCTCAATAAATTTAAGAAGACTGAAATCACGTCAAGCATCTTTTCCAACCACAATGCTATGAAACTAGAAATCAACTGCAAGAAAAAAGCTGGAAAAGTCACAAATATGTGGAGACTAAGCAATGCGTTACTGAACAGCTGCTCTATCAATGAAGAAATCAAAGGAGAAATCAAAAAATACCTAGACACAAATGAAAATGAAAACACAATATACCAAAACTTATGGGATGCAGCAAAAGTGGTACTAAAGGGAAAATTTATAGCAATACAGGCTTACCTCAACAAACAAGAAAAATCTCAAAGAAACAAGCTTACCCTATACCTAAAAGAACTAGAAAAAGAAGAACAAAGCCCAAGTCAGTAGAAGGAAGGAAATAATAAAAATTAGAGCAGAAATAAACTAAATAGACTAAACAGACTAAAAAACTAAATAGACTAAATAGACTAAAAAAATAATAGAAAGGATCAATGAAACTAAGAGCTGGTTCTTGAGAAGATAATCAAAATTGACAAACCCTTAGCCAGCCTCACCAAAAAAAAAAGAGAGAAGAAGAGTCAAATAAATAAAATCAGAAATGAAAGAGGAGAAATTAGAACGGACACCACAGAAATACAAAGGATTGTAAGAGAATACTATGAAAAGCTATAGCCAACAAACAGGATAACCTAGAAGAAATGGATCAATTCTTAGAATAATACAACCTCCCAAAACTAAATCGAGAAGAAATAGAGAATCTGAATAGGCCAATCATAAGCAAAGAGATTGAAACAGTAATCAAAAACATCCCAAAAAACAAAAGTCCAAGACCAATGGCTTCTCTGGTGGATTCTACCACACATTTAAAGAAGATTTAATTCCAATGCTTCTCAAACTATTCCGAAAACCTGAAGAGGACAGGATGCTTCCTAACTCATTTTACAAGGCCAATATTACCGATACCAAAACCAGACAAGGATGACACAAAAAAAGAAAATTATAAGCCAATATCACTGATGAACATAGATGCGAAAATCTTCAACAAAATATTAGCAAATCAAATATAACAATACATTAAAAGGATCATACAACAATGAAGTGGGATTTATTCCAGGGATGCAGGGATGGTTCAACATCCAAAAATCAATCAATGTGATACACCACATTAACAAAATGAGGAATAAAAATCATATGACCATCTCAACAGATGCAGAGAGAGCATGCGACAAGATCCAACATCCATATATGATAAAAACTCTAAACAAAATGGGTATAGAAGGAAAGCACCTCAACATAATAAACGTCATATATGACAAACCCACAGCCAACATCACACTCAATGGAGAAAAACTGAAAGCAATTCCTGTGAGAACAGGAACAAGACAAGGGATGCCTGCTGTCGCCACTCTTATGCAACACAATACTGGAAGTTTTAGCCAGAGCAACTGGGCCAGAAAAAGAAATAAAAGGCATCCAAATTAGAAAGGAAGAAGTGAAACTCTCACTATTTGCAGACGACATGATTCTATATATAGAAAACCCTAAAGAATTCACCAGAATACTATCAGAAATAATCAAAAAATACACTCAAGTTGCAGGATACAAAATCTACATACAACAATCAGTTGCATTTCTATAGTAATAATGAACTAACAGAAAAAGAAGTCAAGAATACAATCCCATTTACAATGGCAACAAAAAGAATAAAATATCTACGAATAAATTTAACCAAAGAGGCAAAAGACCTATACACTGAAAGCTATCAGACATTATTAAAAGAAATTGAAAAAGACAAAGAAATTGAAAGATATTCTATGATCATGGATTGGAAGAATAAACATAGTTAAAATATCCATATTACCCAAAGCAATCTACAGATTCACTGCAATTCCCATCAGAATCCCAATGATAATTCTTCACAGAAACAGAACAAAGAATCCTAAAATTTATATGGAACAACAAAAGACCCTGAATAGCCAAAGCAATCCTGAGGAAAAAAAACAAAGTTGGAGGTATCACACTCCCTGAATTCAAATTATACTACAAAGGCTATTGTAATCAAAAAAGCATGGTACTGGCAAAAAAACAGACACACAGATCAATGGAACAGAATTAAGAGTCCAGAAATAAACCCACACATCTATGGACAGCTAATCTTTGACGAAGGAGCCAAGAACAGAGAATGGAGAAAGGAAAGTCTCTTCAATAAATGGTGTTAGGAAAACTGGACAGCCACATGCAAAAGAATGAAAGTAAACCATTATCTTACACCAGACACAAAAATTAACTCAAAATGGACTGTAAGACCTGAAACCATAAAACTCTTAGAAGAAAATACAGGCAGTACACTCTTTGACATTGGTCTTAGCAATATCCTTCCAAATATCATGTCTGACTAGGTAAGGGAAACAAAAGAAAAAATAAACAAATGAAACTACATCAGATTAAAAAGCTTCTGCAAAGCAAAGAAAACCATCAACAAAACGAAAAGACAACCCACCAACTGGCAGAACATCTTTGCAAATCATATATCAGACAAGGGGTTAATCTCCAAAATATACGAAGAACTCATACAACTCAACAACAAAAAAATGAACAACCCGATCAAAAAACGGGCAGAGGATATGAACAGATATTTTTCCAAAGAAGATACAGATGGCCAACAGGCACACACAAAGATGTTCAATATCACTAATTATTAGGGAAATGCAAATCAAAACTACAATGAGATATCACCTCACTCCTGTCAGAGTGGCTATAATTAACAAGACAAGAAATAAGTGTTGGAGAGGATATGGAGAAAAGAGAACCCTCATACAGTGCTGATGGGAATGCCAACTGGTGCTCCTACTATGGAAAACAGTATGGAGATTTCTCAAAAAACTAAAAATAGAAATACCATATGATCCAGCTATCCCATTACTGGGTATTTATCTAAAGAACATGAAATCAACAATTCAAAAAGATTATACAGCCCTATGTTCAACATAGCCTTATTCACAACAGCCAAGATGCAGAAGCAACCCAAATGCCTATCAACAGATGAATGGATAAAGAAGATGTGGTATATATATATGTTCAATGGAATACTACTCAGCCATAAAAAGACAAAATTGTGCCATTTGCGACAACATGGATGGACCCTGAGGGTGTTATGCTATGCGAAGAAACTCATCCATCAAACAGGGCTGGTCCTACATGAGGCAGAAGCTAAGAAGCAGGTTAAACTGTTAAAAATTTAGCCAAACCTTCCTAAAAGAAGAATGAAAAAATATATATATATGTAACTGAACCCTAGAGGCATATCTTACCCAGAAAAAGACGTAGGGGGATGAAATATACTCAAGGCCTAGAACATGGAAAAGCTGAGGAAAGAGCATTATCAGAGATAATGATCTTCATTGGATGCTGGGACTCAGGGTTCAGAAGCATTAACAGCAGATTCAGTTCAGGAATACAAGGAAAAGCTGAGGAAAGAGCATTATCAGAGATAATGATCTTCATTGGATGCTGGGACTGAGGGTTCAGAAGCATTAACAGCAGATTCAGTTCAGGAATACAATGGGGAAATTTTCCAGAGGAAACCAACATGAATAGAAGAGAGATATTAACATGAAGAGAAGAAAGAAACTAACCTAGGAGGCAGGTTTCACAGGCTGAAGCAGTTCCATACCAGAACGCGATGGCAGCAACTACTGTGGCATACACGCATGCCATTAGAAAGAGCTTGCACTCAGTGCAGCATTGGGGCCAGCAAGCTGAAGCACATGGGAAATGCAACTGAGTTTTGGTGGACAGGAAAGAAGGGCATCTGATGACCAGAGCTGTCAGCATCATAAACCCCTAAACATACCAAGACGGAAACAGCTTTCAAATGCCACATTCTAAGATAGAGAGAGTTTGCTAAAACAGAATTTTTTTCCCTCAGATATTGTAGATTTAATGCCATAGTTAATCTCTTGAGTAATTTCTCCCAACTTAGTTTAAGCTCACAGGTAGTTGTCTGCAACCAACTGGCCGTTAATGACAGGCACCCTGGCAGAACTAAAGCGAAGATGATTTCTTCAGTTTAGAGCATTACCCTAAGTTTCTGCCACAGTTTTCAGCAACAATTTGAGTCTGAATTGCACTAAGTTCCAGGAATATTATAGTTGTGCCGACAGCTAAAGTGTTGAAGTTTTGCTTTTGTTTCAAAATTTCAAAGGACAGAGACCAATATTAATCGTGTGTGTCCTCATAATCCTGTGAAATCAAAAAGCATAAGAAATTCAACATTTGAAGGACCAAAGGAACTACACACATTCAAGTGAAAGAGGGTGCAGGCTGTGCTGTAGACTCCAACTCTACTCAGGCACAGAAACGACACGCTTGTAGCTAAGACCGTACAACCTCAGAAACTCGGAAATGACTTTTCTTTTTGTTAGACTGCAGCCACAAGGGCAAAAGAATCTGATTTTTAAGGATACTTTCTTTGGACTTTACCTTAAAAGATCAAGGGAACGTAGTTTGGGAACCTATCTTTTCCCTGGGAATTTGAGAATGAAAGAGGCGTCTCAAAGATTGCGACATCTCTTAATTGTTAACATTGCATAATTAGAATATTTTTACTTTAATTTGATCTCATTGTAGATCATGTTATAATGACTTTTATTGGACAATGAAGCTGGACATAATTTAAAAGCAGACAAAAGAGAAGAGAGAGGATTTTCAGCCTTGCATTTTTACCTGGATTCTAGGTGTTAATTTAAGTACTGCACTTTGTAGAATCCCATCAGAGCCTGTCATGGCAAATCCTAAATGGTCCAGTAATGTTTCACACAAAGGAACCAATGGTTGGTATCAGGAGAGTGGCCTTATGAGAGTGGGAGTAGGACATCCTGAAAGTGTATGGATTTCTTTCTTGAGGGAGGCCTGCCACATGTTTTAAATAACCAAAGGCTTAATGGTTCAGCCTAATGGGTAGAAAATGAAAAGCTCGGGAGTGTTGAGGAGGAACTTCATATCCCTGTCCTCAGGATTCCAGGTGAAAGGACTTCATCAGAATTAACACTCCTGGCATTTCCCCACCACTAACCCATTCCTCCTCACAGAAAGTGATTGTTGAATGTAATGAAAAGAACTGGGCAGGTGGGATTAGCCCTTTCAGGGACTGCTTTTTAGATCTTTCTGGCTAGATTCTGATCTTATAGTGGAAATCTAAAACTATCCAGCATTTGTGGCCACAAATTCTAACAGCTTCTCAATAACACTGACCACGTTTGGGTTCCCATACACCTATCTCAGATTCCTATCTCTCTGTCGACATTGACACGTAAGAGGAAAAACATGAATGTTACTCCTGAAAACCTATCTCCTAAAAACCAATCACCAAATTTCATGGTAACTTACGTTTCCTCCTCAGCTTTCATTTGGAAGGCATCTTCTAACCAATCTAATAATTTGTGTGTAAACTCACTCACGTCTTGCTGTGGAAAGAAAAAAGTCTTGTTGATATTTGAGCCTACTAATAAAAATACTAAATATTACAACATAAAATTTACAGCCAGTTATTTCAAACATAAAATTACTGACTCCTCACAAAGGTATCATATGAGATGTTTCACATCCAATGAAGAAATATTTATAACTTAACCAGAGTACAAAATCAGTATCTGAGAAAAATAAGCATTATATTGATAATCACTATGATCAGATTTCACATTAAAAAAAAGAAGAAAATATCTATATATACAACTCAAAATTCAAACTTACTAATGAGATTTTTAAAAAGAATTATCACTCACCAAGAGCTCTATAATGAATCTTTATAAAATGAAGGGCCCACATTACCAAAGAGTTCTTCACTTTATCAAGAATTATTACTGGCTTCTCTCTTAGAAGGAAGATGTGCTTTTTGACAATTCATTTTCTTAATTCAGCTTTTACACACAACTTTTTAAGCCATATCTACTTTTACTAAGATACCTGTTAACTTGGACAGATTGTCCATTCTAACAAAACTGAAGTCTACCTAACAAAACTGAAGTCTACCTCTGTACATACAAGTCTCCTAATGTAGTTTGTGCTATCTCACTTTTAAATATGAAAAGATACCCAAAGATCACTCATCTATAGAAAGCTTCAACACCAAAGAGAGTAACCCAGAAAAAGACAAAGAAAAAGCAATTCCAGAAGAGAAGTCAGGGAACAGAAGTGACTTTTTAAATTTAATTGTATACTCAAAGCCACTAGAGAAAATAGCACACATACTAAATAAGGAAATAATGCTACAAAAAATAAAGAACACACCTAGAACCAGGAGTACCTAAAGTGGGGGTTTGGGATCATTTTTATGAATATTATTTCTTTTGACTTGTGTTAAGCGTTGTTGTTAACAGATAAGATTAAGACACTAAACCTGATGGGCACTAGAACATTGTTAGAAATTTTTTTAAAACAACCAAAAAATAATCCTGATGTGAGCACCTTTTTTGTTCATTTACCTCTGCCATAAAATCTGAATTAAAAAACAAAATAAAAAGAACAAGGAAGGCAACAGCAGAATCAGACATCTTTCAGAACCCTCCTCCAAACACCCGCTCGACACATCCACGTAACAGATACACATCCAAGAGCTACAGAAACCACACTGCTAGAGCAGTGGCTTTTTGCATCTCTTCTGAAATACTGTTTTATCTACTATTCTTCCTCACTGCCGTATGTCCAACACAGTTGCTATTATTCTTTGCTACTTTCTTTGCTTGTCTTCTGTTATTCCTTCTTTAATTTCTCTGACTTTCTCATTTATATGTGAAAATGTTGGTTTGTTTGTAGACGTTTCCTATTTTATAGGAAAATTCCCAATATTCTTTTTAAGAAATGGATTAAAAAGCCACCAAACAACACTACATAAAGATTGAAAAACAAAAGCAACAATAACAAAGTTAATATATTTCAGAGATCTTTTCTGAGTAATTCAGGAAAACTACTCCCTGCAGCAACAACAGGCACATAAAAGCATGGGTACTACTCTGGCAGCAGATTATCACACATTCGTGAAGGTTTCTAATTACACATTTGCGAACATTCTTAATTTTACCCATGGTTTTCACTTACCAATTTCGATCATATAAATTACAACTTCATTTATCTTAACACTTTCAAGATCATAATTACTTTTTTCTTAATTTAAAAGTAAATCTTCCAAATAAACAATGTTTTAAATGGCTCTAGCTTACTTTTACTAAAGATGAATAACCATATCTTCAACTGTCATGTATCTTTGAAAAAACTGCTTATGGAAAGATCAAATAAAATAAAATTCAAATGGTTAACAAACAAACAAGTACAACAAAGCTACCTGCTGGGAGTCATTTGATTTGAAAGCATCTTTAAGAATTTCAACTGCTCTTGATGGATCAACATATTTCCTTTTAGTACCAACAAGAAGTGCAAACAAATACCTCAGCTCCCGCATAAAAGGCAAATTCCGATGCTCCTATTGGAATAAAAGAAAAAACCTTTAAGTGAAGATTGACAAAATCTTTACTGGTAAACAGATATTCATTTTAAAATTAACCAAAAATTTAACTAATATAGATCAGGGCTGAGTCCAGCACTCCTATATCATAATTAACCAAGAGTATTGGTGTCATCTAGGACTCTCAAAGAAAGAGTCAAGCACAAAAACAGCAGAGGACCTAGGCTAAGCTCACAATCCCAGCATAAATGCCACATATTCATAGCAAATCATGTCATTACCCAGCCAAGAACATCCCCCTTATTCAAGTCTGTTTACTATAGTCCTTTGCATTCAGCAAGGCCCAGCTGCTACTGAGGACAGCAATAACAACAGCTAACATTCAATGAGTGCTAACTACGTGCCAGGCACTGTTAAGTACTTCACCTCAATAAACCCATATAGGCAAAAATCGCCCCCCACCCCCGCCGAAGGCTTCCCAGACCCCTCAAAGTCAACAATCCCTTCAAACTCCAAATCTTCTGAAATGAATGTCTTTCACTCAGCAATGAATCACCATCTGCCACTGTCGTATGATCTTATTTATCAGATTAACATAAGTCTGACAAGTAATTGGACTAGATCCTAATATTAGACTAATGTATCCTCCTCCTAGTGTTCCTTTGAAATCTTATTTAACTTTTGTTCCTCAAAAAGACTCTAAGCTTCTCAAAGAGAACTTCCATATTTCTTCCACAACTTTTTGCTACACAAGGCAGGCATTCAATTCTTACTGGTAGATTAAACGAAACCCTCCAGAAAGAATAAAAACCCAGTATTAAATATCACGAACAATTTATTTTAAAACAAGGAGACCTTTTTAGAAGAATGTAATTCACATACCTTATTAGTGAAATACTTTATGGCAACAAATCAGACAGGTAGTTCGTACTCTAGTTAGCTCTTGCAATAACAATTTTAACATATAAAGCTTATATATACTATTTAAATATTAGAAAACCTTTTCCAAGTCTGCATAGTTGGCGTCCTCAACATCATAAAATTATAGGGGGTGGGGGCGTGTGTATGTGTATAGTTGCCATCCAGAATAATAGGATCAACGTAGAAATAGTTGCTCCGAGAATGCATTAAAAAAAAAGGAATAGGTATAGGGGTCGGCCCCATGGCCTAGTGGTTAAGTTAGCTCCACTTCAGTGGCGTGGGTTCGATGCCTGGACACGGACCTACACCACTCATCAGCAGCCATGCTATGGTGGCACCCACATACAAAATAGAGGAAGACTGGCACAGATGTTAGCTTAGGACAAATCTTCCTCAAGCAAAAAGAGGAAGATTGGCAACAGACGTTAGCTTAGGGTGAATCTTCCTCAGGAAAAAAAAAGGAATAGGTGTAAGAGAATAACATGCTTATCATTTGATCCAAAATCTATATACCATTACAGCAATCACAAAGTGCACTGTCTGACATAAAAATGCTAAGTTATGGAAAACATAGATTTTATTTAAGTATAATAAATTCCATGATCAATGATAAGGGTTAAAAGCAAAAGTTTTAAATGAGATTGAAAACTAATAAATAGTTTTTCTGCGGGACTTCCTATTTCCCCACAATTGCCCTATATAAATAGGGTCTAAAAGTGTAAATACTAAGAATTTTAATCCACAAAATAATTTCCACAAATAGCTTTAATTTCCTGAGATCAATTTCTTCTTTTATCACTACACTTAAGTCAGCGCAGCTTTTTGAGACATTCCTTGCCAAGTAACAAGGATGAAATAAATGACTTCTGAAAATTAAGTACAATTCTGCTGAGAAGCATATTTGAAAAGTAAAATACTTCACTATAAAGAAACACTTTTGCTCTCAGCCAATTCCTGTGACTAGAAAATCTTTTTTAATTTCAAAAGGCAAAACTGTAAATGATGTTAAGAGCAGCTACGGCGTTTGGCTAAATTATGAAAATACTACCACATATAAAAGCTATTCAAACGCTATTCTTTGTCTATTTTTAAACAGATTTATCAAGGTATACCTGATATACATTATACTGCACATTATAAAGTGTACAATTTTATGAGTTTCAGACACGTATACATCCATGAAAGCATCACCACAATCAAGATAACGTACCTATCCATCACCCACAAGTTTCCTCATTCCTCACTCCCCTACGTAATCATCCTCAGGCAACCATCGTCACTTTATATTTTCTAGCAATTTATATAAATCAAATCATACACTATATACTCATTTCATTCTCATTTCTTGCAATACGCATATTTTGAGCTTCGTTCATATGATTGTGTGCATTAATAATTCATTCCGTTTTATTGCTCAGTGGTATTCCACTGTATGGATATACCACACTTATTTATGAATTAACCTGTTCCAGCTCCTGTGGATATTATTGTACATGTCTTTGTGTGAACATACACTTTCATTTCTCTTGAGTAAAAATCTGGAGGGAAAGGGCTAGGTTGCATGGTAGATGTTTTCAAGAAACAACCAAACTGTTTCCCAAAGGCATTATCCTATTTATATTCCCACTGGCAGTGTAATGAGAGTTCTAGGTCCACATTCTACAACACTTGGATATGGGTTATATTTTTAACTTCAGTTTTTCCTGTGGGTACACGGTGGCACCTCTAGCTTTCATTTGTATTTTCCTAATAACTAATAACGTTGAGCACCTTTTCATGTAGTTATTTACAATCTGCATATCTTCGTTAGTGAATATTTGTTCACATATTTTCCCAATACAGTAATAGGTTATTTGTCTTATTATTGAGTTGTACAAGTTCTGTATATATTCTAGATACAATTCCTTTATCTGATATATGTTTTGCTAATATTTTCTCCCAGTCTGTGGCTTGCCTTTTCATTTTGTATGAATTTTTCAGAGATTACAAGTTTTTAATTTTGATGAAGTCCAATTTATCAATTTTTTCTTTTACGATTTGTGCCTTCTTATTGTCCTACTTCAGAAATCTTTTCTTAACCCAGGACACTAAAATTTTCTCCTATGCTTTCTTAAGAATTTCTATGGCTTTAGTTCTTCCTTTTAGGTCTACATCCCATTATGAATTTTTTTTCCCAAATACAGTGTCCTGTAAGGGTTGAGAATTATTTTTCTGTTTATGACACCATTAGTTTAAAAGATTGTTCCTTTGCCTACTGAATTGTTTTGGCAACTTTGATTCAAATCAATTCACCCTGTATGTGTAGGTCTATTTCTGGACTCTATTCTGTTCCATTGATCTATATAACTATCTTTTCATCAATAACATAGTGTCTTGATCATTGTAGTCTGATAATTCCTCCAACATTGTCTTTCTTTTTAAAATTGCTATGGCTATTCTACATCCTTTGATTTACCATGTAAATTTTAGCATCAGTTTGTCAATTCCTATAAAAAAAGCCTGCTGTACTTATGACTGGGATTGCAGTGAATCTATAGATTAAACTGGGGACAACTGATGTCTTAACAATATTGAATCACCTGCTCCATGAACATAATATATCACTTTATTTCTTTAACTTTTCTCAACATCTTGTGGTTTTCCACATATATCTTTTCCCCACTTTACCCCTAATATTCCATATTTTATGCTATTGTATATAAGTATTTTTTTAATTTAAAATTCTAATTGTGTGTGGCTAGTATTTAGAAATACAATTGATTTTTGTACGTTTGCCTTGTATCATGCAATCTTGCTGAATTCATTTCTCAGTTCTAGCATCTGGTTTTAGGGGGGGAGTACTTAAGATTTTCTACATAGACAGTCAAGTCATATACATAAAGAAGACAGCTTTATTCCTTCCTTTCCAATATACATGTTATTTCTTTTTCTTGCTTTATAGCACTGGTTGAGAACTCCAGTTTAATGTTTAATAGAAATGATTGAGTGATGATATCCTTGCTTGATCCTGACCTTTGGGGAAAAGTATTCAGTCTATCAATATTAAATATTATATAAGTTGTAGATTTTTTTCATAAATGAGCTTTTATCAGGATCAGAAAGTTTCTTGCTATTCCTAGTTTCTGAGAGATTTTGCCATAAATATATGTTAGCTTTTGTCAAATCCTTTTTCTTCATCTACAAAGATGATCATATGGTTTTTCTTCTTTAGTCTGTTAATATGGTGAATTACACTGAATTCAGAACACTAAACCAATCTTGTAGTCCTGGATAAACCCCACTTGCCAATGAGGTACTATCCTTTACATATACTGAGGATTCAATTTGCGAAAAATCTGCTACATCTAAGAAATTAAAACTCAGTAAAGCACTAAAATCCAGGAACATAAAAGAAAAGGTCAAGATATATATGAATACTTAACTGGAAGTAATAATTCTAAATAACGTCACGTAAATTATAAACATACTTCAACTGAGACATCAGAAGAGAGAACCATCGATATTAACAAATTGCAATAAAGGAAGGCAATAGGTCTAAAAAGTTTTATGTACAAATTGTAATGATTGAAGGGGTTTTTCTTAATTTCTCTTGAGGTATGAGGGGTCGTCAGGTGATCTTAGTACCCTTTTGAAAATAGCTTGTTTATCAGCCTGACACTTTATAGCCCAAAGATTACGGCTTGAAAAGCGGGTTATAAATCAAGTTATATTCCCAGTAGCTTGCATTATAAATGTTTCATATGTCTGCAGTAAAAGCAGCTTTCAAAGTTATACACTAAAAGGAAAACATAATTTAATAATGTATCATTACTACTAACAATAGTTCACACAAAGTTCAACACTTTATTGAAACCTAAACTTTAACTTCTATGTCTTCGTGACCAGTTCCATTGAGGGCTGCAAATTCTTTATGACAAGATCACAAAAGCCTTATACTCAAGCATATCATCTCCATAATTAATTTTTTTCCTATTAAGCATGAATTTCTGCATGCAAATCAGTCTTATCTTTTTAAAAGCTAATATGAACACTATAATAACTAATAGTTGACATCTGGTACTTACTATGTACCAGGCACTTCTAAGCCCCTTATGTGTTTTATCTCATTTAATTCTCACAGTAACTCTATAAAATAACTGCTATTATTACCTACACTTTTCAGTTAAGGAAAGTGAGCCGAGACAGATTAAGTAACTTGCTCTAGGTTCACAGCCAGAACCTAGGCAATCTGGCCCTGGTGTCTGAGCTCTCTGTCACATTATATTGCCTAACAACATTAACTTACAAAACAGAAGTTACAGATTTGCACTGCAAAGACAGTCAGTGCAAAACTAATCTTTTAAAGGGCTCGTCTATAGACACAATAGAAAAAATTTTTGATTTCCACACAATTTTTCAGGAGACAAGTGAGGAAAGACCTTGAATTGTAAATTGTAACCTATAAAGTTTACTGAAATTTGACAATCCAAAAAGAAGAAAAGTCAATTACTAAATGACACACAGGTGAATAAAAATTCATATTTACAACATACTGCCAAAGAATAGAAAGTTACTAATTGAGATTAATGGGTTGACATTCAAATTTGACATTGTTTAAGATTTGATGGGGCAAGTGCCCCGAAAGCAAGCATAGATAATAATATGAAGACCATATCGTATATACTCTGCTTAAAAATCTTTTATAATTTTACCTTTTGGTTTCGAGGTAAATCTTGAGCATTTGACGGAGGCTTATAATTCAGAACTAATCTTCTAAATTCCAAAAGATTGAATAATGACTGAAAAAGAACAACAATTTAAGATAACTAAGGGGAAATTCTATTAACAGAACTGTAAAAATATGACTAGTCTCAGAGATTTCTTTTTGACAATTATACTAGTCATACACAGAATTGATGCAATTAGCATAAGAAGGCCTATTTTCTCCCTGAGAAAAAGTTAAATTTCTTATATTTTAACATATTATTCTTGATCATTAACAATATTTATTGTACTACAAAGCAGAAAAGTATACATGGACAACTCAAAAAAAAATATACTATATTATATTACTAAAGCTTTCTTTCTTTATATTTCTATTAGCTTAACAACTTCCTCAAAATAAAAGATAAACAAATGTAAAGTCTACAACTTTTTAGATATTTTATGTTCACTATGAGTTAGTTGTCTAGAGGTACCAATTCTACAAAAATACAGTATAAATAAATTTCCAGGCCAGATGCTCAGTGATAGAAACACTAAGAAATTACATGTTATCTCTACGCCCAAGGAGAGACACAACCTAGAAAGAGACAGATACATAATTATAACAATACAAATGTGACTCCAAGATACTCTAATACTGATCATTACAGAGTATAGTGACAGCATATGAAAGATGCCCATGGAAAAGCTTCCTGAAGCTGTTTTTTAAACTATAGCTTATAATCCATTAATGTTATCATGATGAACATGGTTAAAAAATGAAATAAAATACAATGGAAAATATCAGAACATATCATACACAGTAAATTCACCACAGGGTATAGTTTGTAAAATTTTTGTTGTAGATATTTTACATACATGTGTACATGTAAAGTGTTTTACAATGTAAAATATATTCCTTTCTGTGAATCAGTTTACAAAGTTTGAAAGTCACTGTACAGGAGGCAATAATGTATTAAATCTTAGTAAAGATGGGTTAGCCAACTTGACTAACACACAGATAAAGGTGGCATCACAAATGAAAACAAGGTTTTGTTTAGCAGTTGGGTGTTGGGAAAACTGGCCCAGTATATATAAAGAAATAGAGTCAGATATAGATATATAGATATAGATGTGGATTAAATGCCTAAATATGAAAGGTAAAACCATAAAACTGATAACTAAAAAATTTTCCTACAGTTTCTGTTATCTTGTGATCTGGAAGTATTTCTTAATTTAACAATATGAACATGAGATAATTCATTTATTTATTCATTTAACAAATATTTATGGAGCACTCACTACAGGCCAGACACAAGGAAGACAGGCAACGAGAATAAAATATATCAAGTCTCTGCTCTGATTACAATCTTGGGATTGCAAGTTAATACAACGAGAGTAGATATTATAAATCAAAAATAACGTGAATACAATAATAGTAGACCAAGATCAGAACCTTAGGTAAGAAGAAGCATTTAAAAGCCAGAGGAAAAAGAGTTATGAGAAGGACAAAATAAGAATAGTAAGGAAAGTGGAGAGTATGAGATCACAGAAGAAAAAGCAGTAGAGAAACCAAGAGCTTCCAAATATAGCTGTGTATCAGAATAACAGTGGAGCTTTAAAAAATACCTGTGGCAGGGGCCTCTCAACAAAGATACAAAGTACCACAGAAGATTCTGAAGTACATGGAAGAATCACCGGCAAATTTTAAGCACAAGATTAGCAATACTCTCAAAGGTTGCCACATTCCATGAAGGTAAGGGCAGGAAAATAACCTTTGGATTTGTCACTTGGGAAGCTACCTTTTCAGTGGAATGGTAGAAGACGACCAGCAGCAATGAGTACTGAAGAAATGGGATATAAGTAAGGGTCAAATTATGGGCTGTTCTTATGAGGAATTTAAACTGGAAAGAGAACATTGACAAATTAGGAGAATCCCAATCCCACTTCTATGCTATGAGTATGCTGAGTTCCCACTGGAGAACATTTTCCTTCTTCCTAAACACCCATTAGAATTTCCTCTGGTGTAGGTCTGCTGGTGATGAATTATTTCAGTTTCTGCTAGACTGACAATTGTTTTTTCTTCATTTTTGTAAATATTTTTGCTGGTTATAGAATTCTATACGGCTGGTTATTTTTTCCCAGCACTTTAAAGAATAGTGTTTCTGTTGAGAAGTCCAGCTGTTAGACTTACTTTTGCTCCTTTTTAGAGGTGATATATATCTTTTCCATCTGGCTACTTTTAGGATTTTCTCTTTGTCTATAGTTTTTTCTGTCTTATTATGATGTGTGTTGGCACAGTATTCTTTATGTTCATACTACTTGATTCCTATGGCTTCCTGAATCTGCAGCTTGATCTTTCATCACGTTTAGAATATTCTCAGTCATTTCTTCAAATATTGCTTTTGCCCTATTGCCTTTTAACTCTCCCTCTGGAACCACAAATAGACTATGTGAGTACTATTCAACATGTTCAAAATATCTCATATGCTCTTATCTGTATTTCACGGCTTTAAGTCTGAAAATATTCTTCAGACCAACTGTCCAGCTGACTAATTCTCTCTTCGGTTGTGTCTAACATGCTGCTATAATTCATCCATTGATTTCTTAACTTTAGTATATTTTTCAGTTCTAAAATTTCTATTTGTTCTTTTTTATAGTTTTTAGTTTTCTATCAAAATTCTCAATCTTAAACAAACACATAGATAAGGAGAACAGATTAGTGGTTACCAGAGGAAAAGGGGGTGGGGGGAGGGCAAAAGGGGTACGTGTATGGTGATGGATAAAAACTAGACTATTGGTGGTTAACACGATGCAATCTATACAAAAACTGAAATATAACAATGTACACCTGAAATTTACACAATGTTAAAAGTCAATATGATCTCAATAAAATAAAAATAAATAAAAAATTCTCAATCTTGTTTTTAATTCCTTGAGCATATTAATAGTTATTATCATAAACAATTCAATTTTCAGGTTTCCTGTAAGTATATTTCTATAGCCCATTATTTTCTCTTAATTTTTAGAAACATCTTATTTCCTGGTACGACTGATCATGGCTGATTCGAGTGCTAGACATTATATGTGAAAAACTGGAGAAAATTGAAAGTTCTAGATGATATTACCTTCTAACAGAATTTACATTTGCTTCTGGCAGGCAGCAAGACTGGGGCCATCTGCAATCCCAGATCAACTTAATCTAATCAATTCTGAGATGAAGCAGGAATTCAGAAACTATAAAGCCTGGCCTATTTTCAGTTCTCAGTTAATCCTAGGTTCTAGGCCTTTAGAATTCTGACTGAAAGTCTGAGGTGTTTACTAGGGCTCCAAGTCTTGCTTAGCTTCCCAGCCATTCAGCAACCACTTCTGGAACTGCCTTAAGGATAAAATCAGCCCAAAATGTGAAGCTTACTCTCTGAACATCCTGTTCTCTCAGAGTTTAGCCTTAAAATTCCTCACTGCTTTAGGGTTACGTGATGCCTTCAAAAACTTGGTTTTATTTTTGTTTTGTTTTGTGGCCCAGCAAAATATGACCAGGTAGATGGTCTATAACAATCTAATAAGCTATTACCCAAAGTAGAACTTGTGACCATTACAACAAATCATAGAAAATAATTTTTTTAAGTACAAAGCACTAGGTACTCTAAATCACAGTCATAACAGTATTGATCAACATATTCCTTCAGAAGGGGTGGGAAAGAGTAAATATCACTACTGGCTAAATTGTGTTTATGATTGATGCACGCTGAAAACAAGTATCCTTTCATTCAGTCTAAAGCTAAAATGTGAATTTTGAAGAGCACTTGCTAAAACAGTTTGGCTAAACTTTTGCTAAGAGCAGAGAGCTATTTGAGATTAGAGTTCAAACAATTTGTGGAAAACAAAAAAGAGTGATGACAAGAGAGCAAAGGAAGATATAAACTGTCTATAACGGAGGATACTAAGGAGAAGCAAGATAAATTCTCCTTGGTGGATTAAAAAAAAATGAAATGGTATCACGTAAGTTTCAAGGTGAGGTAGGGACGAAAGCAGATGGCATAATTAAAAGATGAAAGTCTGTATACAGAGCAATTAAATCCCTATGTCCTTCCCAGACCCAGAAAAGTCAGACAACTACTATCTCCTTCTGTGGAATATAGAAAATGTAGTCTTTGGATATAACTAAACTTAACTGACTCAGGTTCAGAAAAATCAGTCATAGAGTGTGTCAGGGTAGGGAGAGGGGGTGAGATTCACTGCTACAAATAGGAGGATTAAGTAAAAACCTGCAAACTGAGCCCCAATTGACCCTCCCCTAATCCCCTTTCTCTAGACCTGCTTTTGGAAACCCAGCAACCATGCTTAAAACACAAAAAATCAGAATCCAGTCTGGATTTGAGGTAGAGAAATCTTCTATGGTAAAGGAGTCCCCCCACCCCCCAAAAATGGATCTAATATGTTTGAGCAAATAAAACGTATTGTTGATAAGACCATAACAGAGACGTTGGAGCATTTGGAGTTTTAAGAATGAATATATAGAAAATAGAAAGAAAAAAAAAGTGGCAAAGGAAAACAAAGGATTACAGAGGGGTAGTCCTAGTAAATCACTGTAATATTGACAAAGTCATAGAAAATGCCAACACTACTGACTATTTTTAACTTGTGATATAACTATGTTGGGAGATGAAAGGAAAGCCAATTCTAGGTAGGTGAAATGAAAAAGCTAAATCCTCATTTATCTCAGCAGGAAGGCATGCCATTTAACAAAGTGAAGATAACAGGAGAAACAGCTAGAACTGGTTGTAGTTGCCTTTAAGAAGCAGGACTAGGAGGTGGGGAGGTTTGGGGCAGATTATTGCTATTTTTCACTGTAAGCTTTTTATTGCTATGAGATTTTTGGTTTTCTCTTTGAATTATGTACTTAGGTTCTCTGATGAAAATTAAAGAGATAAGAGCAAGTAATGTGAATAAATATGTTAAATGATATCCTGAAATTTTCTGAACACTTGCAGCATCTTTTCAATCCCATACATCATTAGGGTGATAGAAGCATCTTAAGTCTTCAATTCCACCATAAATAATATATGCTCCTTTTTGGTTCATTCATTTACTCATTCAATAATTACTTAAAGGGCTCCTCCGTGTCAGACATTGTACTATATACTGGTATAGAACAATAACCTAGAAGATGTGTTCTCTGCCCACAGGATGCTTGTATTTTAGTCAACCTGGAGTTATATGATTTATGAGTAAGGTGACCATATCCTTTATCATCCAACCCACAACTCTTTTGAGTATGAAAGAGGGCTTTAAGACTAATTAATAGGCACCGGTGGATCTACAATAGGAGTAAACTGGACTGTACCAGGCAAACTGAGAAGTATGAGCACCTTTCTTCTCAGCATCTCAGAAGCATCCAAATGCTAAGAGTCATCATTAGAATCCACAGATTACACCCCAAACCAGCGAGAGAGGATAATATATACCTCTAAATAACTACCTCATTCACTGATACCCTAGTGGAGAAAGCAGCCCCAATTAGTACTTTCTACATAAAATTTCTATTTGAACAGGATAAAAATAGCCCTGACGAGATAAGGGGTAGGTACCCAATCTAAAGACAATCAGGCTAATATTGCTAGCATCCAAAAGATTATTTAAGCCATTCTCTGTAAAATCTTCTCTTTGCTTATAGTCCCTTTCTGATATTGTTTCCCTCTTATCCCAAAATACTCTCCCACTATCTAAAAGAACAAGTATAACAAAGCTCTACCTTTTGTAGCCTACCCCTACTACCTACTCTGAAGTTAGAGGTTTATAATCTCAGTAAACTTCTAAAATTGGTACATATACTTACAAGGAAAAGAACTCCCAGTTGCTTCCTACTAGTCCTTCCAACTAAGTAAACTCCATCCCTGAGAAAATTTTGTAATCAAAACTTTACAGTACCTTTACGTCACAGTTTGAACAAGCTCCAACTCGTTTGGAAAATATAAAAAAATTTTCCAACCCTAATACAGACTTCCTGCCCAACTTTTCTTTCATAAGTGAAAAGTTCCATTTATGATGAGAAACTGTTACATCTCAGATTATGTCTATGAAATTAAACAATGTCAGAAAATGAAAAAATAGATTTTAATTACTAGAGATGAAAATGAAAAACTACTTAAAATACGATAATTACAGTAAAAAAAACAAAATGTGAAGTGATCTTTTAGACAAATATTTTTCTGACCCACAATTTTCCGAAATGTGAGGGTCAATGTTTTTTTCACATCCCAAAAGTCAATAGCTTAATACTTCATTATAACCCAAAATTTTCAAGGTTAGAGGTTACTTCTCCTAGGTGTCTAGATTTCTCCAAAAGAATAAAATAAATAATCCCAAGTACCTTATTCTTGCGTATGTTAGGAGTGTGGTAAAGCCACACTACCAGTTAAGCAGCCACTAATCTAAGATAAAATTTAAAAATTAGGAAAATTATTTCAAATTTTAAAAACAACAAGCAATTTTTTCTAGTCCATTCTGCTCCCTACCAAAATACACCCAAAATTTGAAATGTAAAGCTAAGGTCAGCAAATACCACTTAGGGTAGAAATAGACGGACAAGAGCCGGCCCCATGGCTTAGCGGTTAAGTGCGTGCACTCCGCTACCGGTGGCCCAGGTTCGGATCCCGGGCGCGCACCGACGCACCACTTTTCCGGCCATGCTGAGGTGGCATCCCACATACAGCAACTAGAAGGATGTGCAACTATGATATACAACTATCTACTGGGGCTTTGGGGAGAAAAAGGGGAAAAAAAAGGAGGAGGACTGGCAATAGATGTTAGCTCAGGGCCGGTCTTCCTCAGCAAAAAGGGGAGAACTGGCATGGATGTTAGCTCAGGGCTCATCTTCCTCACACACACACACAAAAAAGAAATAGATGGACAACTGATTCAAATTTGAACTAAGATACTGAGAGAAGTTTACCTTATGAAAACAGAAAGGGGTGATCCCCGTATCTATTAATATTAATTTAGTTATCATTTCAAACAGGTCTTTCTTACAATATGGTATGGAGAAATAACAGAACTATTCTAACAAACATTGATTATTTCCAAGTTCTTTCTTCTTACAGTTTTCTAAGAGAAACTTCTAATCAATGAGCCTCATTTATTGGCCATAATAGTGCAGAGATAGCATCCACTTGTCCAAATAGAGACAGCAAAGAACACCACGAACACTCAGATCACAGCCTTAAAACTGAGCTTCATATTTTAAAATGATGTCTGAATTATAAAATTTAGATTGGACAATGAAATATAAAAACCTTACTAATAGTGCAAGTAAAGTAAAGCTATAGATAGCTTTCAAGCCTATCAAGAAGATCTAAGAGATTCTAGGATAGCAAATAAAATTTTAGATATTGTTGGCATGTAAGGGAATAATTAACACGCAGTCAAGGCTAGGAACAAAGTTATTATTACAGATTTATGCTAATCCAGATATTCTTTAACATTTTAATAGCCTAGAAAACAAATAACATAGCATAGCACTCACTAATTAGTGTTTACCATGGTGTATTAGAGGCATAAATCCACAAAACTAAAGGAAATCAAATTATATGATATCGTGTGCCAGAAGCCAAAAAAGGGGGGAAAAAAGTTGAAAATGGTAACACTGAAGTAGAAAAAATGTTAAAATTACAAATTAATATCCTAAACACAATTAACAACCTTGTAGAAAATGAACTACATAACCAGTTAGTTGTTTTAATATCATATGAAAATTTACGCTGTCATACATACAGGTTTCAAAAGCTACAAATGAAGAGATATTTTGAATATAAAAAGAAGTGGCATATACATCCAATGATTTAAAAAGTCCTCATCCGGAACACTAATTAATAAGCTACAATTCAATTGTATTAGGAAAATAAAGAAATATTAATTTTCTTAAAGGGTAATAAAAATTAAGAGCACATTATTACTCATAAATTGTTTTATTTAAGTAGATTTTCTAAGGTTTTACAATCTGACATCACATTATCAATGTCTATCAACACGAGAATGGCAAAGAATTACGACAACAGTCACATCACATAAAAGAGTAAAAAAAAACAAAACTAGTTCAAATTGAGAAGAGGATAGATATCCATGCATACAAAGATTTTTCATTTTAGAATAAGGGGCTCAAAAAACATTCCGTTAAGGGCTTTCCAAGTTACAAAGAAAATGTGTTATTCTTTATGCATCAATATTTATTCTTCACATCACTCTTACATATATATTGAGAATTATTTGTCAATCTATACTCTCCTCAAATAAAATGCTTCCTTGTATTAAAAATAGTATTCAAATGACTATAATTCTATGAATAACATTTTCCATTATATACAAACAAATATAATCTCAAAAAAAAAACAGTTCTGACTTCATATCTGGTTACATCCTTCCCTAAATTCGCAGGACATACAAAAATATTTTCCTTACATTCTGACAACAATTCCTAACAGCAGGGAGGAAGGAGAAATTAATTACAAATAATTCCAAATAAGGCACAGATAGTGCTCTATTGTTAAAACTCCATCCTGGGAGGGAGGAACAGAGCAGGGTGGGGAACACTGCAATCTCTAAACTAGTTCATTAGACAGAAAGGCATATTAAAACCTTACCTGAAGTTAAGTTTAAAGTATATAACTTAAAAAAAAAGACAACCCCAAGCCACTTTCCATTGCTATCATGCCCACCAAACAAGATCTGCATAAAGATCCTTACCTGAATAACAGCACTAAACCAGCAAGTATTGCCAACATTCTTTAGACCAACAGGAGCTTTGTCCTGCCTTTTTCTATCATAAGGGTTTCGAGAATCTCTCCAAACTTCCGTAGGTGTCCTCTTCAAACATGCTTTATTTTCTGCTATGCTGGCTTCAAGAACTCTTCACAAATGGGGAGAAAATGATGGAAAAAAATACAGTATTAATTTAGTGCTGTACCCTAGGAAATAGCATAGCATAAACTATTTTAATTACTTAAGCTCTGGATAATATATTTGAGGAAGTAATATTTAACGCTAACTTGCTTCAAGTAGTGGTTAGCTTTCTTTAAGAATATAGTGGTGGCAATACCAACAGATCAAGAGACATACAGCTTTTTTCCCTAATAAAAATGAAATTTCAAATACAAAAAGACAGTGTTATAATATAGAAAGTGTGTTAAATTATGTTTCAACAAATTAGAGGTTTAGTGTGAGGAATATAGCACCTAGACAAGTTTTCTGAGCAATCATTGTATTAAAGTATATATTTACAATATAACATAATGACTAGTTTTTATAAGTTACTTTGAATCATCAAGAAAACATTAAAAACTGGACAAATTGCACTTTTACTCCTCTAACCATTAATTTCCTTGCCCATAAAAAAACTTAAATAAGGTAAATTCTGGGGTTCTTTTCAGTTCTAGACATCTATGACTCTATGACAGCTAAATAAAGGAAGAGAATACTTTTGTGTTAACTTCTTCACCCTTGCCTAGCAAAAAATCTAGTGGAATAAATATCTACATATCCGAATAATAAAAGATTAACCTCTTCAAAATAAATTCACTTACAGAATATCTTAAATATATCTAAACACGGCAAGAGTAATGCTACTTTGCTTAATGACCTTTTTCTTGCTCTTAAGCAAGAAAACCCTAATTCCCACATATGAACTAACCAAGCATTTTGCCTGCTCAAGACATGTGTTACTTAGTATTCTAAATAAGCATAAATAATATTCAGGTGTCTTGACCCATTTTGTGTTAATCACAAAAACCTCAGGAAGAAGGAGTTTTTCCAACTTTTTGGCTTCTTGAGTAAATCTCATTCATGGTACATCATCTTTATCACAAAGATTTTGCATCACCAAATTAATGTTAAAATAATATAGCTATACTTCTTAATGATGGGGAAAAAGTAAACTATTCTTTTATCTCTAACAACAGTATTTACAACATGACATTAGATACAATGTAGTAGGATTCCAAACTATCATTACTTAAAATAACTTATGTGAATACAGAATAAAGTCTTTCTTGGGAATCAATGAAACCACATATTTAAAAAAAGCAAGTAACAACAACATATGTTAAAACGTAAAGATCAAAGTAAACTCATATACTTAAACAGTTTACACCTCTGTCATTTTAAGCCTGATCCACCATTAGCAGCAATATTCTCTGCCCCAAAATCAACTCCCACATGCAGCCACAGCCCCCACCTAGGCTTTCTCTCTTAAACTATGTACCACTAAAATATACCAGAACTCTTTGGAAGGTATTTATTTAGATGAATTGGGGCAGAAGAAAATCAGAATTTATCCAGAACATCCCACAGTTGCCAGAAAGCAAGTTTTCAAGAACATAAGGGGGAGATAAAAAGTCAAAGAGCCAACTTGAGAGGGTTCCTACTATGCAATTGTACAGGTCAGCATAACATAATACAGTAACAATAATACACTGGAACTAACTGAATACGTACAAGGTAATTAGGTTATGCTCAAAAGAGAAAAGTTAACACACAGTACACAAAAGGTAAACGTAACACAAAAAGCTGCTGTATATAAGAAGGTATATTTAATTTCTTATTGACATTCATAAACGGGAATGTTTTCATTTGAAAGTTTTATTCCTTTTGTAATGCATATGTATATTTAGAAGTATAAATAAAGGAATCTTATTTCCATCTTGGTAATTAATTAGAGATGAATGAACAAAAACAAGCAATGAGTTTTGGGAGAAGTAGCAACAACACCATGAACAGGAGAGAAGAATTAGCACCAGAGGTCATCTACAAGAGATAGAAGAGACATCCGGCAATTGACTAGCAACAGTGGGCATGTACAATAACCATTTAAAAAGAGGATTCTACAACATATTCTAACTGTATAAACTGGTCAAAAGTCTAGGAGAACTACACTCAATCCTGAATCTCCTGGTGGATGAACCTCTACCATTATATATTTTTTAACTACTATGATAATCAAATACTAATAAGAAATGAACCCTTCTGAATAATGCCTACAGACCAGATCACATATATCATAATGACCAGGCAATAGATCACATAGACATTTGTTATGAAAAACTTGAGAATACCTAATTTCTACAAAATACACCCAATCTGAAAAATTAAAATCTATATATGTCACATGAAATAATAACAAAAGGAGACTCAGTCTCAAGATCAGATGGATTAAAACTAGGTCTCATGTTCCCCACAGCTGTCAACAACCCAACCCAAATCTACAATCCAGACTGACCTGAGATAATGATATTCTTCTTATTCCAGATAAGATTACTAAAACCCAGAAAGGTTTTTTTTTAATGTTTCGATATTGTCAGTTCCCTCACTCTCTTCTTCTTCCCCTCCTCCCACAAAGAAAATACACCTCTTGATTTGTATGTTTACATACAAATAATGTAATGTAAACATTATTAACGGAATGAGATACTGTAAGCTTTTTGGTTCCCTTGCCTACTCTCTCCCCAACAGGATTTGAGAGAACATATGACCTCAAACGTACTTTCTAGCACCAAGCAGCTTGCCTGCACTGTTTGTTATACTATTCCACAAAGGAAGTTGGAAAGGAAAGAAAGTCAAGGATATAAACTGAAGATACCATCTCCCCAGCATTTCTATATACCCTTCTTTACAGAGGTAAAATTAGGTACAAACTGTAATAACTGTTTGATTAGGACTCAAGAGATACATGCTCATTGCTCCTCAAAGTAACCTAAGATATAAAAATAAAAGAATATCCATTTCCTAAATTATATTTATATTTTGTCTGTACATGTATAGGTATATATATAATTAAATATTCATATAACTTAATTCTGTCATATGGTAAATATCATTATCACAAAAGTATGGGTTTTAAAGAAATAGGTGGATTATAATACTCCTTAGCCACACCATATGGTGGAATTATGGTACTAAAAGATGGTGGATGAAAGAATGTCATGACTTTGTGATCTCTTTGATTTAGAGCTTATAACACATTCAGTTTTGTATCACCAGGGACTTACAACATGCTTCAGTAGGTTTCCTTCTACCGCCTCCTCCTGGCTACTAAAGGACTTCATAAACACATCTATCACACTGCACCAAAAACATTTAATTAACCAGTCTCTCCCATTAGCATCTGGAGCACAGAAACACAGATCTGTTTCATCCCTAGAGCCTACATGATATATATAGGGGCTAAACAAGTGTTTGAAGTAAATGGACAATTAAGATGTTAGATGCTGCTATACCTCTTTGTTATTTTTTTAGCAAAAGCCCAACCTCCAGCCAAATACTACTCTATTCCTAAGCCCCTGTCCCTTTCTATAGTCCAGTACTGGCATAATGAATACAAACTTTCTATCAAGTCAAGTCCTACATAAGAGTTCCTTCCCTAGCCTCACCAAAGTAAAGCCAGTGATACTACACAGGCTTTGAATCAGCACAGAGTATGCACTAGCTATATTCCAGGTATTAAGCCTGCTAGTAGAGAGAAAGAAAAAAAAATAAACACTGCAAATCTCAGAGAGCTCAGAAATAGCGTATAACAAAATGTAGCATGCCAAGAGAGGCAACCCCAAAGCCACAATCAAAAACCAACCCACCCCTACACATTACCTGCTTTCTTATCTTCCCAACACTGGTCATGACCATGGCATTCAGCAATATAAAAAGATAACAAAATGTTTTGCTGTTTCTTTTCCTCCCACACACTATACTGAACGTTTAGTGCACTTACTTATGGTATATGTTTACCTTCCCATTAAAATTTTGCTACACTGATGTGGGTTTCGGTTTTTTGCTTGTTTTATTTTGTATTGTTATTTAAATTGCATTACAGCAGTAATGTTGCCAACATTCCACTTTAGATCATCTAAGTCCATTTTGGGGAAGCATCATACTCACTGGAAAACACGAATATCATTTAAGTTGCACAGATCAACCAAAAATAAAAGAAAAAAGAAGGAAGTGAGGGAGGAAAGGAGAGATGAAAGAAGGAAGGAATCATATTGTTAATTTACTTAAATAAAAACCAACTGGTGGGGCCAGCCCAGTGGCGCAAGCAGTTAAGTGTGTGCGCTCTGCTGCGGCGGCCCGGGGTTCGCAGGTTCAGATCTCGGGCACGCACTGACGCACCGCTTGTCAGGCCATGCTGTGGCAGCGTCCCACATAAAGTGGAGGAAGATGGGCACGGATGTTAGCCCAGGGACAGTATTCCTCAGCAAAAAGAGGAGGACTGGCAGATGTTAGCTCAGGGCTGATCTTCCTCACCAAAAAAAAAAAAAACCAACTGGTATCTTGATTGGATCACACTAAACCCATAAGTCAATTTAAGGAGAACTGATCAGTTTTACATGTTCAGTCCTCCAATTTGCAAAAGAGAACATATTTCCAATTATTTACATATTCATTAAAGTGTCTCAATGATATTTAACAATTTTCTTCTTGGAGTTCTTGCACATTTCTTATTAGATTTATTCCTGGTCTTTAATAGTTTCACGTGTTTTAAAAGGTAGCTTTTAAAATTTTACCTTCTCATTCTTTCCTATACATAGAAATATAATTTTTGTATATTGATTATTAATCAACATAGCTAAATACATTTTTTCTCCTTGGTAAGAATACTTTATTGAGGGATAATTTACATATAATAAGATATACAAATTTTAAATGGACAGTTCAGTGAAATTTTTTACATATGTATACACCCATATGACCACCACCTAGACCAAGATATAGAAAATTTCCATCATTCCAGAAAATTCTCTCAGGCCCTTTTTCAGCCAACAGTGTCCCAGATAATCACCATTCTGACTTCTATCACCATAAATCGGTTTTGCCTGTCCTTAAACATCACATAAATGCAATCACACAGCAGTTACTCTTTTG